CAAAGCGCCCGATATTCGACAAGTTCATTTCCTAATATCGGCAGCGGTGAAACTTTATTTTATTAGGTAATAATACACCCTATCGGCCTCGCCAGGGCTCAAGTATTAAATTTCTATATCGTAATTTGGGCGTACGCAGTATTGTACTATTCATGTTTTAAAACAGACAACACGCGCTGCATGAAACTGGTTCAAGGCATTTTTTTGAGGTATGTTGGTATGTTATCAAAGTTGCTCAACTTAAGACGTGGCACTCGATCGCCATCGACGTGTTGGCCACGGTTCCATATCAAGGTAATATGTTGTCAGATTTGATCAATAAAAAACCTATCAATCAATCAGTTTGCAACATTGTATGTTAATTAATAAATCAAATAATTCACAGTATAGGTCCCACACGTCATAAGCTTTTAACGAATACATCAATTTCCTATTTGTCGTGTACAGATGAAAAAAAAAGTCCAGTCTCTTTAAACCAGGGGCGCACAACCTTTTTTATTTAGACGACCGCATTACGTTTTTATAAATGGTACACGGCCACCAGTGAAATCGAGGTCTCTTATAAGTCATATTTAACTGAAGAATTGGTTTTTATTGATATATCATAGGCGTGCGTCTACAACGTTCACGAAATGGTAAGATTTAAACAAATATACTGAACAAAAGTTTTAAAGGGTGACCAAATATTTTTTGGAATCTAATAAGCACAATACCGAATCATTTATACACTGAAACTGAAATAGCTACAAAATTATAATCGAACAATTTTAAACGGGTTTCACAGTTCAAAACTTTATCACGCTTTATCACGAAATGACAGAAATTGGGGAAGAGGATATTTTTTGGAATCATACAGTTCCCCTTGTGCCACTAGTATGGATGTAGAATTAACAGTCCAAAATCACCTGAAGAGTACATTATGTATTTATATATGAGAGTAGAATTCAACTTTGTATTTACTCAACTTTACTTACTTTGTTATTTAAATAGACTCAGTAATCGCTACATCAATTTCGAATACACAACTCGCCTAAAATTAAATATTTGTTTTTAAAATCAAAGCACATTTTCAATCATTGAAGTTGTTAATATTTGATTTTTCAAATCGCCTCAAATATATAAATATTTTTGAACTCGACCGTGCAAGATCCATTATAAATTCATCATTGAACATACTTTGAGAGAAATATTATTTCGACATATAACGGAGGACTGGAACAATAAATAAAAAGTAAGAGCATTATTGTTTTAAGAACTGTATCATCAGTAAACATAATGAATCAAAGAAATTCATTTCGTTGTTCTCGAATCATAGGTAGCATTATGAAATAGAAATCCATAGCTTGTCGAGTTGGTAATTTTTAAGAGGTTGAAACGTGACAGCGAATTTGTTGTTATGAAATAGCTACTCAACTGACAAATACACGGGCTTCAAATTCGAAACCTTGTACACAGTAAACATACATAAGTATGACCTGCACATCTGCTAAAATTAATAAACTAAGATTCATGTGACACTTGTTTCAATTGTGAACCATAAAAAATAGTATAAAAGAAGAGTTAGCTTATTCAAACAAGAAACGATTTAATTGTTTTCAAGTGAAAGTCATTCCGTAAGTAAGTGGACCTAACATGTCATGTAAAGTGGTGTAATGTCGTTGTTTTGAATTTTTTCCGATTGTAGCAAAATGCATCTGTCGTTTCGATTATATTTGGAATCATACATTTGCTTTATGTTAATATCTTTTTTAGAATAATAAGACGACGGTTCTGAATATATATACTCGCGTGAGATTTCTGAGCCATCACCTTTCTTCGGCTGACGTATCTACATGCTGTTGTCTCCAAGATATCTGTTTCTTAGGCAATGTGAAGATGAATAAATGTCGCGATTATGATAATTTTGGAACATGCAAAGATGGATCCAAATGTAGGGACTATCACTCGCCAGAACACGTCAATACAGAAATTTTTGCTGCTGTCATAAAGGAAGTTTGTGATGTTAAATTCAGTATAACTATTGAAAGAATTGGAGTTGAGAATACGGAAACTTATTTCCTGCCAAATACTCCCTGGCATCGAATGGGTGCTGAAAATGGAGATCTCGTGATATTCCAAAAATCAGATAAAGTAGAAAGCATACATGCGGAAGCGGATAATTGGAGACGACCACGTCAAATAGATCAATGCACCATTAGTAGAATAGTTGCAATATTGTCCAAATCTATCGGTGATAAAATCGTCGGATTTAAGTTTGAAATTGTTACAAATCTAGTACAAGCGTTTACCCTGGATTGTGAAGGAACAAGACGTCATGATGATGCTTCCAGTATTGAACAATGTCAAAAATGCAGAAAACCCGATTGCAATGAAATAGGAATACATATCATTGCTGATCTACAAATCCGAACGGTTTTGAAAAGAAAAATAATTTGTTGGCTCTATCGTTTTATTTTCATACAACTTGTTCTCAGAAAGTAAGCGCGCCAACTTTTACTCTAGTACGAATTTCAGAAGAATATTCATTGATTCAACCTCCAAAAAAGAAGTTTGAAATTCTCTGGAAATATTTTATGGACACTAAATCTCTTCAACGGGACCGAAATTATATTGCTTCTAGGATGGGAAATATTGAAGACTGGAAAGTACATTTACTTGTAGGTAAACTTATGCATCGTTACAACGAATGTGCGAAAGAATACGTTGTTGGCAATGTAATCACAAAACGTACACATGTTGGTATCGAAAAATGGGAAAATTGCGATAACAGACTTATTGTCCCTCAGGATATATACGATAGATTACAGAGCTTTATTTTGAAGAAAAAATTTTCTGTTGTGGATCTTGCTCCTTTCTTGGCCACTTCGGATTTATTTATTTCTAAGCTGCCATCGAAGTCAAGTAGAGTGATCAGTAAATATCATCGGGACGTCAAATCGAAGTCAGACTTGAGCGTAGATGACATTGTACGTTTCAACTCGCCTCTACGGAAAAATCACAGCAAAATCAACCAGCAAATACTAATCGATTCTATTGTGTCATCGAGCTCAGTACGATATTCACGAGACGACTTGCTTGGTCTGCTCTGTATTCGTTATAGAAATCCACACCTGGCTGACGCTTTGCTAACAAGTGTTGATCAAGATTATTTTTTAGTCTCATATATTTTTAATAATATAAAACACAGACTAAACATATTGAAACCAACTAGAAAAATTCGTTACGACCAACTTCACTACAACAGGGAAGTGAAAATCAAAAATGGTACTGCCGTTGTACTTCTGAAGAATGTTTACTGTGAACCTGATGAATACTTCAATCAGAAATACGTAACCTTGAATCGCGACAACATTGATGACATATTGGAGGATTGGGAACATGACAATTTCCAGAAGAAACTTGAACAATTTTTTGAAGGACAAAGATCTCAACCGGAATCTATTCTATACCCATACGAGAAGATTGGTTCTGATACGTTGTTTACCGTGGCACCTAACTTCAGACTTAAACTTCAAGTATCAGAAAACGACGTTGGAAAGATGGACAAACTCAGTTTAAGATTACTCAGTATCGGCACCAATTGTCATTTGTGCTTGACCCACATAGAAAATCCCGATTTGGCATTCATGTCAGACAGATCAGACATTAATGCTCTGGATATCATGGATAACATAGAATTCTTAAAAAGTTCACTTACAACGGGACGAAAACCTTTCATTTTACGATTGGAAAAGGTCGAAGTTCACTGGGATTCAAAATTTTATTCGGGAGGATCTTTCATATGTTCGAAGCCGGTTGGTCCTGGCGATTTTCTTTGCGTTCGTCAAGATATATTAGATCGTGATAATAGCCATTACGTGTGGGTAGCTCATGCAGTAGTCAAAGAACTTGTGAAAAACGAAGTTTTGTTCTCGATTTGCACTTTATCGCAGGATAAGTCTTGTGAAAGCGCACTTTTTTCAGTAGAAGTTATACAGATTCCAAAGTGTCATCAGCCTGAAAACGAAACTTAACGGTCCTACCCATTGTGATGTGGATCAAGTGTTTTTAGGATTGTTGGAAATATGCATACATGCTAATTATATTTTAATTACGTTTACATAGATTTTACACGTATATATATATATATATATCTATGTGGGTTTTGGAGCATTTATATTTATAGATTTTGCATTCGTATAACTATATATTTTAGTCAGTGACGTATCTAGGGCATGGAAGCCACGGCCCGTGTCGTTTGGACAGGGTTGCAATCAATAGTAGTTCAATAGTAATATGTTTCAATAAAATAACTTTGAATTGGGAATAACTGAAACTCGTCGGTATATTTCATGTAAATAATAACGTACTAGTATCTCGAATCAACAAAAGTCGTTAGAAATTGTCAGTCAACGATCAAGGGGGCGTCTTTCAAAACTTTGTCATGGACGACGATGCACGTAGATTCACCACTGATTTCATTTTTAGCAAATATATTTAGTAATTAATTGTTCATTTTATCATCATTCTGTAAATATGCAATAAATATATACAAATCGGAATGGACTAAAAAATTCGTACTTCGCGAGGTGAAGCAGCCTAAACCTAAAGAGAATGATGATAAAAGAAAAAATCAGGCTAAGTATATATACAACAAGCGAAAACAGAATAGAACTCTAAACTATAAAAATAAAATAATGCTCTTAGTAAACTTGACTCAACTTCGACGAGGTCGTTAATAAACTTGACGTCACAGAATAAGATTTTTTTGCCATATATATCAGAGTTTTATTTCTAAATGAATAAATCTCATATACATAAACGAAACCAACAAGATGGGGTCGACAATGTTGTGACTTTTACGAGGTTGATAAAAGCATCATCAGTCAGGTGATATCGATTATCACTTGAATGGCTTGTAGTTGATAGCACTCAACGCATGAGGCTTGCTAGAGCCCATGCGGTACCAACGATGATATTCCTATTGAAACATTTATGGTAAACATAGTCATCGGATCAAATTGAAAATGAACAAAGCAGGTTTGATTTTTATCGCAATATTCAGTGTGGGTTCATTGGTATGTCTTAGTTTAGCAGCCGGAACTATTTTCTGGTTTGGAGTAAGACATTTGGATGGTGATGACGCTGTGCTGAATTACACAAAAGGGTTCCAAGAACCCGAATATCGTTTTACCTTTTTCACTGGATTGTGGATGACATGCTACGACAAGGAAACGCCCGCAAAAGGTGAATAAAATCGTTTATGATAATAACGGTAAATCCATTAAAAGATATCGGATTAAATATATTCTGTGGATAGAAAACTATTGAGAGGCCCAATAAGAATAGCTGTAGGCCTACTTGTCGTCCTGTATGCGGGGTTCCACATTTTGGCTCACAATCGAACTTTAAATGATGTAATGTACTACGCTGAATAATTTCATGAAAGCAAAATTTAATTTTTCCAGAGAGATGTAATAATAATGATCGAATTATTAGGGATGTGACTTCGAAGAAGTTTCACAAGATATTTTACCCTACTCTTCGAAGTTATAAGACTGTGCTAGATATGTTTAATGAAAGTCCTAATACATATAAGAATAAGAGCATCTATGGACTCCACACAAACTGAAGGCCAGTGAAAGGTACTCACTTGCAACACAGTTGAAAATAGATTAACTAATATACCGATACACACGCGTTTCATCCTGGTAGTTGTGCGGTTAGTTACAGTTTGTAGTGAAATAATATCATCAAAAATCTGAAAATTCGTGACTAATGACTTCGGAATTATTACTGTTTGGTGTCATCACTTTATTGTATTGTTTTTCTAGATAAATTCCGAATCCATTTAGGTCAGAGGTGACGAACCCATTTGCTCTCGCGGGCCATTTTATCAGTCACCGCTGAGTAAGCGGGCCGCACAACTTTTCAGTCATATATAGTATGATGCCTATTAATTTTCATCAACAAAAACGAACAACAGTATCCATAAAGATAAAGTTATCTAATGATATAATATATATATTGCAGTATAAAATAAAACATTTAATTCAGGTTTTGCTTAGTGAAATTTTTGGAAAGTTTTTTGCTTTACTAAGCGCTTCATATTAGGACGAAATGACGATTTCGAATATCTAAACTACATACCAAGATTTTCGTCCGTCAGTCTTGATCTGTCATCTCACTCGGCCGCGCGCTCCGCTCGGCTGTTGGAGATCCGAATTTCCGTTCGAAAAATGAAGCATTCTTGACTCGAATGTTTTTGTCGACTACTGAGGTATCACTGTACAATCAATTTATATTGTACTACTAAATTATAGAGTTTAATATTTCATCGCAGACCTAGGGATTTTTCTAACGTTGATATCTCTAAAATAATCTTGGGTGGTAGTATTATGATAAAGCGGAGTCAGTGTTGCAAGAACACATCAAATTTTCATAATTCTCAGCATCGCTGAAATACGAATCAAAACTAAATATAATCGGGCTGTCTGAAACACTTTGTATGGTCGTGATATTTCATAGTAATGTTTATATTATGTCGACGCAACTGCAGGTTACATCAACACACAATTGAATTAATATAAAACAAAACATTTTAAATAGACTTGTCGTCAACAAATTTCACATTAGTGGCGAGGGCTTCGTACAAAAGAGCCGTATTTTGCAAGCCTCCGGATACAGAAGTTAAATAAACGAATCCATCCTGTAACGATTAACTGATTTTCAAAATGTAGGCATTTATTCAAGATCTCCCATTATTTTAATCATTGAGCTGAAGTTATTAAATTTTTATTACTTTCAAATGTCCCGTGTATCGTGCGCCGAAACATTAGATTTTCGCAAAATGAGGTAACCCCTTTTCCCCTAATCCTTATGCGTTTGTTGATAAGCCAACGTAACTAGGCTAAGACATCGGTCATTTTGATTCATTGTTGATCAAACAAAACAAGATGTATTTTATCAGTATCAGTAATTTATTTTTTCCACCATTTAAAAATACGCAAGGTACATATACAGAATAAAATAAAAGAAGAATAGCATTTCAGGGTGGAGGGAAACGCTGAAAAACCAAATAGCAAGTAGCGTTGTCAGTAATATAGGTAATACTGGCGTTCCCATTTTATGTGTACAGTCTCTGAATGTTTATGGAGGTTTATGACTTCAAGCCAAACATAAACTGAATCGTCTGAATGCTTCGCGGGCCGCACAAAATTCTTTGGCGGGCCGCAGGTTCGTCACCTCTGATTTAGGTAGTAGGTGAATGTTACAAGCAATATTTGTGTAGTAAAGAAAACTTCAAATTTTAAACTTTGAACATTTTATCACAGTACGGCGTGAAGCATCACTCAGAGGAAACTGCACCATCGACTATGATTTTCCCACTCGCGAAATAGAAGGTAATTCGGTCAGTTCTAAAATATATTTCAGTCTAATTCTTGACCTCCCAGGAAGGAACATTTTAAAATATTCCACTTTTTTCGTTATTACCTCATCGGTATGCAAACGGGAACATACCTAATGGTAGGCTTACCATATTTCTGAAGCAAAAAAGCGGGACGGCGCGGATTGGACAAGCCAACTTTGGTTCGATTCTAGGGGCTTAGTAATAGTAGTGAGCTCGCCAAGTTCCTAAAACCCGCCGAAGTTTCCGCCGCGTGCTGCAAAGACACAAAATAGGTTTGATAATATGATGGCGGAGTGAAGAACTTCATTTCCCGGCTGAAATGCACGGATTTAAACAGATATGACACAGAGCATCAAAAACAAACCAGACCTTGACAACAAACAGACCAGAAGATAGAATCCCATGATTCAGTGTTGTGAGGTGAAACAAGAGATGGTCGGAGTCGAGCTAGAATAGTCAAATCTGACGCATTGATCAATATTTAAGTCGAAACAACAGCTCCGACTGCGCAAACCTCTGCACGCGGTTCTAGGACAATATAACTAAATAAACCAACAAAAAAGAGCAATTTTGCATTCCCGTTACACGATTAAATATTGCATAATGTAATACCCACTTTCATAAAAAAGCAACAAATAACTGTTTTACAGATTTTTCTCGAGCAAGTATAGTTTGTATAATGCTATCAATTGCTGTCACGATATTGGGATGTTTGACTGCAGTTACCGGAATAGTAGCAAAGAACAGATCAGCTTTATTTCACTCGGGCCTTCTATATTTTGCATCCGGTAAGTCTAGTAGTATATCTGTGTTGGTATTAGAAGCCCATCCATAGCTTTATAGTATACACGTTGCACAAACTCATGTTACTATCGCAGCACGTATCGATTAGTAATACATATGCATTAGTAATATACAAACTGACACAGATCGGATGCGAAGCTAAATGTATCACACTTATGTATTGTATGTACAAACCGACACGAATGCCGGTCCAATCGTATTTTAGGAGGTCATTTAAACCCTTATTAATATTTAATATATGTTGTAAGCGCACACTCATGTTTCAATTTAACGTTGTGTTCACTCGTGCGGTGACCACGCACAACTTCTTCAGTTTTTGCCATTGATCCGATTGCTTTTTGGACACGTAGTGGACATAACGATCGTTTCAATATTATGTTGTTGTTGTTCTTGTTCTTGTTCTTTGACACGTTTTTAAAAAGTCGCTTTTCTCTTCGAATACTGGACCAATTGCTTTGAAATTTTCAGTGGTTGAAGATAAAATTTTTCTCCAGAAGGCTATTACTTTTTTTTTGCTATGACGTCATCAAAATTATTGCCATTGGGTGGCGCTACGTGTCCATATATTTGAGCATAGCTCTCTTGTTTCCTTTGTGTTCGCCCACTTTAGAGTTCGTCTCCCATTCTGTGGATTTGGTCTGCTAGCTAGTAGACTTGTTGGCTCACTTCTCCGCAGCAGCCGGATCTCGCGCATGTTCTCCGTATTATAAACGACCTTAGACCTACCCGAAATAAGTGAAAATCGCTCTTTCCACCAAACTTTGCCAGCTGAAGGCTATTTTTCCGTTGCCGTATGTCACTGTCACTAGTCATGGCCTGTCTGCTCATTATTAGAGTTTTATACTGTCCAATTTTACCTCTGATAAGTATCTATCCATCAATCTGAGCTGCTATCGTTTCGACTTACGCTTGCTTTGGCTCAACGGACCAGTTTGCTATACCGATTCTTCGCGACACGCAATGCTTTACGACAGGGTCCGCCAACCTTTTAGGCCGACGGGCCACATTTAGTTTACTAATAATTGCGCGGGCCACTCAACATGGTAATTATGTTCTAGTTTTGCTACACTGACCAAAAGTTAATGAAAAAATAAACAAAACCCTCGCACCAAACTTTCTCAATAATAAGAACAATAAAAAAACAAAGATACAGTAAAGTCAACAAAGTTTTTTCTACACGTAGAAATTTTAATGTGAAGTTTGGCACTGTTTTTCGCTAACAAGTTTGTCAATATTCGATGAAAAGGACGATGTAGCAACGCGAAGCGAATTTTACATATGACTGTCAGAAATTAGTGATCTCACAGGGGATTCTGACATGGTTCACCTGTGAAAAAACTTGCTTGTACGAGTACGTGCTGCCAAATTGTGAGGTCATCAAAACTGCCATTCTGCTCTAGTGTGTAAGCTACTATTTATGTATCGATATCTTCCAGTTGGTGATGGCACTCATGGCTCGTTTGAAAGGGCTAGCAGAGCGCATTTCAGGAAAATGAACAACTTGTTTGTATCAAATCTTCATATTAACTACATCACTCGAAAAATAGAAGTTTTACTAAATTTTTTTTTTATTTAACTCTGAAAATACAGCGCGGGCCACTCGAAACTCCTCGGCGGGCCACATGTGGCCCGCGGGCCACGGGTTGGACGACCCTGCTTTACGACTTACGTCACATCTTACCTTCCTAGGCGCCTCCAGGACCTAGGTTACTATTACAACTGACACTTTGATGTTGCCAACTTTTCCACAATTTCATCGCCGGTCGTCAAAAAGGATTGTGAAATTAGATTGTTTTTCCATCACCATACGTTTAAAATTTATAATATGTTTTTGCATCGCAGCGGTTTGCTCTCTGATCGGAAACTGCACCTTCACGGCAAGAATTCTTCTGCAATTCGATGCTTCTGTTCTCCCGCCAAACGTTACAGAAGAGTTTGGTTGGTCTTACATTTTATCGTGGGCATCTCTAGGAGCGCAAGTTATATCTGGATCGATCCTAGTCAAATGTGGTCGAACGTATGAAGACAAAGAATAGAATTAATAACGTTATTGCTTTGTGTTGTTTGAATATTTATTAACCTTATTACTTTTGTGAATAACTACTGAAGATCAGAACTGTTTTGTGATGACATGAATGCCGGACTCCGCGCCGATGAGGCAAGTCTAAATCACACAAACTCATTGGCATCAATTTAAATTTCAGAAGCTGTAATGTAACGTCAGTGCGTTGAAACTCTTACAAGGCGTGAAAAAAAATGAATCATATTCCGATGTTTAAGCTTCTGGGAATATTTCCATTATTCATAGTTGGTTCAAGAAATTTGTAAGCTTGAATTGGCAGCAAGTAGCATCTCATATAATAGAGTACTTAGCAATGTTGATACAGCATTTACTTACATTCATTTATCTGTTTAACAAACAACCTGACTGGATCACGATATCAGGAAACATACGGAATTGACAGTAGAATTTTAAACGCAGAAATAGAACACCCGCTCGTTCAGCCTAAGAGAAGTTAGTTGGACATGTAAACGTATGAATAACCTGTGTCAGTCCCGTTCGAATGGCTATTTATTCCAATTGCTTGGATATGGTTCCTGAAGAAGACATAGCATCTGCATCAGCCTCCCAAGGACAATGCCATCAAGCATTAATCAAAAATCTATAAGTTTCAGTAGATAATGCCATATTTCAATTACCGCCTTGTTGACACATTCCAGGACCCGAATACAAATACAAAGAGTCATACACCCGAGTCATTAAATAAAATAATTTACTCAGGAACAGTAATCAGTCGGTAACAATGTGTTTTTATATTTATTGTGGCCTGGAGCTCTGTAGATAAGTCTACCTTTCCTCGGGATCCATAACACCAAAGTATGAGAACCCCTGCCCTACAGCACCAATATATGGTGCCCTGTCAAACGTGATCCCAATGCATGACCCAACAAGACGAGCCTACTTCATAATATCAGCACCAAATACACCACTCAAATTATACACTAGAACTGGCAAGATTCTTGTATCCAAATCATTTTCTTTAGTTCTGAAATCAACTAAATAAATTCCTTTATATTACCACGCCTGAAATATCCTAATTTCGAAATTGAAGTGACATAATTATTTACAAGCAAATATATATATATTTTAAAAAATAGAAATTGAAAAAAAAAACACGGGTTAGACACATTTGCAACAACGAATCAAGCATAAAGGAAGAAAACACTTCAAAAATCTATGACTTGTGAATGTTTACTATGTTTCTAAATCCAAACAAATTTGATGTCAAAATATAACGGCCTGAACGAATATTTAGGCAAGAGTATATAAAACACTAGTACAGATTGTCAGTACAGGCAGTATATGTGTTTCGAATTCGAACCAAGATTTAGACAAAAAACTTTATTATGTTTCTGATAATAGACATTCCTTCCTGAATGAAAAGCTCTTTTTAACACCATAAATGAAATTATCTACAAAAACTGAAAAAAATATTTTTATTAGCTAGCAAACAAAGTTACTGCAATTCGACATAAGATACAACATTGTGTATAAAATAATCAGTTGTTCAAATTCAAGTCATGTCATCTTTCAGACATGTCTTAGAGGTAAATTTTGAAATTAATATTGCCAAAATGCCAAAGTCGTGTGCTATTGTTATTTTAGATGAAATTTTGTGTGAATGGCATTCAATAGTACATGACTAAATCTCTTTAACAACTTTTTCCCTAAAATCCAAAAATACCTACAAAAAATTTAATAAAAGATATGTTTGTTACCTTTTCTTATTTAGAATCAAATTTTATTAACAAAAAAAATATAGTCACTGAAGACTAGTAGCAAAACTGACAATAAGTGAGAATAAGATGAAATAAAATGTAGTATCAAAAGCACAGAAAATCAAAAAAAAAATGAAAATGGTTTGTAACATACACTGGCACTCGCGGTAAAACTTTTAACAAGTAACAATAATAATGAAATTTAAAAAAAAGTAATATACTAATATAATACAATGCAATACATACTTTTATGTTACCAATATATTTATATTTCAATTCCGAATGTCGTCATCAAGCATTCTAAGCCAATATAGACCAAACTTATGTCTAGGTATGGGACATACTTATATTATATATTAAAATTTGACAATTTATGATAATGGAGATAAGTGGAAAAATGATGCTATGATACTGTCTGATGACTTTCTTTAGTTCGAGATTCACCTGCTTTTGCCTGAAAGAGATAAAATCAAGAAAGGATTTTATAGGAATTCAGACAATTGAAAATGATTTAGCAGATCGGCATTGTGCAAGCGATGATCTAACAATCATTAATAATAATTAAATTTTATCTCACTGCTTTTAAAATATTGCGTCTGCCTATATGCAAAACTCACAAACTGTTTGAAAGGAGAGGATACTCAAAAAATGGCCAGGTTCTGACAGCTGTAATAATATGTCAAATCATAAAACCTTATTGAATAACTTGTTCAGGATAGATATAATGACAAATAAATTCTGTGAAAATAGATTTATTGAAACGTAGTTTCAAGAATTCAACATAATCAAAATTGATGATACTTTTTGGCAATTGAGCATTTGTGTATAAAATATATTCTTTTGAAATACCCAAATAAGGAAATTACTTGCAATACAAAATTCTAGAATGCCACATTAATCACAAACCATCTGAGTGGACTGAATGCAAACATATGTTTCACAGTTTAATTTATGATGGTTTTATCATAATTTACCTCTAAATTTCCTCTAGCTTTCTTCAAAACATCGTGCGTCACAGTAAGTTGTTTTAAAATAGCATGTTCGATACCTTCTTTCATACGATTGGCTGTCTGTAATCTATCAACAGTACTTTGAAGTAATTTATCTTGAGCAGACAATCTTTTATGTAACTTGCTGACTTCCCGGCGTAGTCCATCGGCCTGAAATATAGGCAATAATAATATTATTTTAATGGTGCTAACTGGCTTAGTTTTATGCACCAGGACTATATTACGTGTTGCGGTTCAAATGCTTCGACCCATTATGAGGCTGTATTCTACAACAAAAGATATAATTCTGGGATTTGTTAATAAGTTGATAATATTCACAGGGCCTCTATTCAGCTCTTTTCAATGATTTATTAAAATTGATCTTGGGAAGTCATACAGGGGACAATGTAACAGTAAATATTTGACAGTTTCGTTTTCTAGGCAAGTGTTGCAAAGTCCATTGTCGTGGAGTCCAATTTTATGATATAAATGTTGATAAAGGCAAGTATCTTGAGGTTGCATGTTAGGCATGTTACATGATTAGTATTAAAAGGGTTACTGCAGTAAAAAATAAGGTTCTTGTTAGTTTTTTTATGAGAAGCTCAGCCTTGCTAATGTTGTAGTTAAAGATCTGATATTATGGTCTTTTGTTTCATTCAAACCCCATTCATGAGCCCCAAGTCTACACTGAATCTGAAAGATTCCTGATTCACAGGTGCCGTTAGACCATGACTGTACGAAGCATTGTTTAAGGCAAGGAAACAATTCATAACATATTTGTCAGAATTTTCTCGCTCATTTACGAGACCCTATACCAGGGATGGCGAACCTTTTTCAATGAATGGGTCAAAACGTATAATTTTATCGCGGAACAGAAGAGAGTGGGTCACAGATATTTAATTCACGTTTGTATCTATAAGAAACTTCTGAAACGAATCTTATAAGCTGGTGTTGGTGTAGTTTTGGGCTTTACTTATGCAGCACTTCTATCAGGGACTTTTTATGGCACTCGGTTTTATGATATTTGAGTACGAAAATGACACATATGAATTACCAAAAACGTTTAGGATAATGCGTTAAATTATTTTACAGTTCTAGTGTTTGGAGGTAATTCCGCTTTGATAGTACATTATAATAGTTTAGTTATTGTTAGATTAATTTAAAGCCGTTTATCAATTTTTATCACTGATATGTTAGCATTTTTTTTTATTTCATTCGTGCCTTCGGTTGGCGGGTCACAAATAAAACGTGGTGGGTCACTTTGTGACCCGCAGGTCAGTGGTTCGCCATCCCTGCCCTATACTGACACACAAAGAATAAGGAAATGATAAATACCTCTGAATTGATAGAACTATCAGAAGCAAATCCAGCATCTCTTGTGCATTTTGAAACATCTGACAGCGATGCATCTGATTGTCTCGACGCACATCTATAAGGAAAATAGAGGGAAAATTTGTTACATGAGTAGGAGACTCATGATAGTGCAATCTAGAAGATATTGCCCAACCAGCAAATAGCTATGTCAGAGTCAAATGTATCAAATTAAAATTTTTAGTATGATGGAAAATTTTATTTACCGCAAGTAGATAATGAACATTTTTTTCTAAGAAAATTTGGTCAAAATGAGGTCATTTGTACTCATTCAAAAATCTAGGACGCTGATCTCTTAGCGGAGTTATGGTCTACCATTGAAGTGCCAAGAGCTACTGAAAGAATAATAGTCTAGTAAGACTTACTTTTGACATCTGTTCTCAGAATCTCCAGACAGGGGTAATTGAAGAGAAGGGGGAGGAATGGATGCGGGCCAAAATAACTTAAGAATCCTTCCACTATCTTCCAACATCCTATGTAGAAGCTGGAGATTCTCATCTACATGACTAGAAGATGGTGATCTCTGGAAAGAAAAAAATATTTCGATAAATTTTTAGCCAAATTAAAAAAGGGGCCATTTAAAAAAAAAAGTCGAGTCAAGATTTCTTCTCACCTGTTTCCTAGTTCCCTTTGATGCTGTTAAAGCACTTGGAACACTTCTACCAGTTGCTTTCAACTCCATGTTACGAACCAATAACCTGCTATCAGTTGTTACTTGCTTCAGCTCATTATAATCGGATAATTTTCCCAAAATATACGGACCTGTTAAAAAGTTGGGTGATGAAATATAGATGATTTTGAAGATAAGTTTGTATGTTTAGTGCACTAACAAAAATTTATTCAAATTCGCGAATTGGGTACAAGACCATCTCCTCGTGTAAGGTGCACGAATTGAGTAGACCTATGCTGTTAATACTAACCGTGCATATTGTAATGAGGCCAATTTTGTTGTTTCTCATTTCTCTTTGGAAATCTGGTACCAGTTGACATTTGTGGAGGCAAAGATGCAAATTCAAAACCACCGAGTGTTGGATCTTCACCACACGATGAAGCAGAGGGTGGTGGAGTCATCAGAAAAGTTGACGGCTTTTCGTCTACCAAAAAAAATGAAATATGCATCATTTTCATAGTGTATTTTTTAAAATGCTACATATGCAATTATTTTCAAATCCAAATATCATGATGCGTTAAAACATAATAAATAATGAAGACTCAAAGCACGCGACTTAATCATTTTGACGTCCTAATTCTAGTATTAATTTTTTATAATACATCACAATACAAATTAGGTTAAGGATTAATTCTGAAATCATTTAATATAGCGCAACATAAACCATTCATGGTCATCTGCGAAACAAATTTAGAGAAGACCAATCTTACCATTCCCCATTTTCAATTTCCGCCGTGATCCGCTTCGCCCTGAATCCGGCGGAGAATTTCTGTCAAAAACATCATCATCGACTCGTCCCACTGGAGTGGAAGCAGGTAGGTGATGAATATTGATGGTTGTTGATTTTCCTGGCGTCGGGTTTCCATTTTCTTTATGCTTTAATTGTTCTTGTAATTGTTTGCGTAAAGCGGCATTGGCTTCGATGCTACGTTCCAACTGTACTCTCAGAATTTTAATTTCTGCTAAGAATTCAGAAATATCCAAAGGACGACCCTGGAATTCTTGATTGCTTCCAGACTTTTGTGGAGTCCGATAAGCATCTGAATATAAAAAATTGAAAATGGTAATTGAGCACATAATATACAAATATTGTAAGTGAGCAATATAATCAGACATTCGAAAAATGGCACACAACCTTTCAGCCATAGAATTGTGTACTTTGTTACCAGTTTATTTATATTATTTCCTCAAAAAAATTGGCATTTCTGGTCATTTCCTATATATTACCGGTAGTTTTTAACAGTCAGAATTACAAATTGGTCATTTTCCATATCTGACTCTTGAAAACATAGTTCAGAAAAAGATAACATACCTTTATTTTTATGAAATTTCTCATAGAGAGCGAGTTCTGACTTGAGTGATCTTACAAGATGGTGACTCTCGTCTAACTCCTCATTCAAGCGATTCAAATCTTCTCTCATCCTGCAAAGAAGAAAGATAAGGTGATTAGCGTTACTCGATCGCCAAATAGTTAGCACCATCGCCATAACCCTGTTGACTATGTGTTGTGTTCAAATAGCAAGTGAGGCATCCGTCGTTTAACGAATGTACACTATCCCAACCAAACAAAGCACTTTCCTATCAACACATGGTTGGTTAGATATAGCCTTGTTAAGAGTGTAGACATGGGTGCAAAGAAAATATTTGAATAAAACACTCAAAATTAAGGTTTTAACTAGACAATGTACTTTTCATTGAGAAAGTTAGCAAATGAATTTCCAAGAAAGTTGAAGAATTGGGCAACAGCTACCTATCTAATTACATCATCTACTTCAGCTGATACTCAGATTTACTTACTGATTTGTTGATTCCGTAGCAGACACACTGTCTCTCCTCAAAGTATCAGTTTCAATTTGATTGATTTCATTTTCATCTTTCAATTGTTTGATTTCATCTTCTTGTTCCAACAAAAGATTTTTCAATTTTTCATTCTGAAAAAATAGAATTACATTACTAGACCAAAAGATGTGCTGAAATACAACTGACAAGCTATTCGTGCGATGTACGAAAAAATATGAATTTCTCATTTACAAAATTTATCTCACAAGATCAATTATCTATAACACTGGGTAACCAACCATTATATTAGTACTATTTTCACTGTTTGTTGAGTGCTCAACCGTCACTCGGAGCAAATTTATATTAAAAAATTAAAAAATCTGCTTCCACAATTCATTTATCGTGATAACAAAAGATTTAAACTATTTCTCCTAATCAAAGATACAGACAGAGCAGTTACTATAATTTGACAAGAATTTAGGTAGAAAACAAAATTATTAGAAAAATCTAATACAATACCTCAACTTCTTTTTCTGCGATAGATGAATTCATATTATCAATGTAACTTCCCAATAATTCAGTTTGTGTTGATGATTCAACTAAACGCATTCGCAGTTGTTCTAGTTCTTTTGAAGCAGCTAAAAAATATAAATTTTTATGATAGAAAAGAGCCATTACAGAAACAAAAATTCATTTAATAAATTTGAAAAAGCTATCATTGTATTGAACAAGCGACTAAAATAGCAATTTGTGATTCAGCACCACAGTTTCATAATTTTCCACTTTAATTTACCTGAAAAGGAATTGAATATGCATAATATATGGAAAACTTGAAGAAGACATATTCGATATTCATGTAAAATAAATCTCAGAAAAAAAGGTGAGTTGCTCTGAGCAAGACTCTACACAAGAAGTATTTGAGAATATTGAAAAACAAACTTTATCTAACGGTGACAGGTATGATACTATACACTTATATATTAAAGAATGTAAAATGATGAATACTATACCGGCAAAATTATTTTTCATGCTTATTTCAGCTTCTAATTGATTTTGTAGTTTAGTTTGCTGTTCTTTAGCTCTTGCAAGTTGTTCTCGCAAACCTTTAATATCCTGCTCATACTTTTCGTTATCCTGACTTTCTGCTGGCAGATAGATATTTGCTGAAACTGAAACAAGTGAAAAATTTATTTTTAAAAAACGGTAAATATTATTAAATTAAGAATTAACAAAGATAAATAAGTTTCATAACATCAGCTACCTTTTATAACAATAATTAAAAAACTTTAGTATCGGTCACTGGTCAGTAACCCCAGGCAGTTTGCAATACATTGGCCGGTCACTGGCTCAAACTGCATGCCCCCAGTACCCCACCCAGGGTAAAATTGAATGGATAGACGATGCCAAACAGAAAAATTCCAGTCCAACGAAAATCGAAGCTACTTCATAGGCAAGTTGCTTAACTTAAACCTCATATTCATGTCGTACAAATTGTTACAAAACATATTTCTTCTTAAAAAATATGAATTACGTATTTGTGATAAAAAAACACAGGTTGACTGCCATTTTACATTTATATATGGTATAATTTGTCCAATCTGATACAACGATAAATACCCTAATAATATAGAGACTTACTGTGCTCTGCACCATTTTTTCGGCTAGTTGTGTTCTTCAATTTTCTTTCTAATTGTTCTCTCAATCTATCGTTAGTTTCAATACTATTCTCAAGATGTTGTCTCAGGGTTCGAATCTCGCTCAGATGTTCTTCCAGGATATCTGGATTGAACAAAAATTTGAATCATATTCACAAAAATATTATCTTAATTATTATATTAAATTTTTTTTCAGGACGATGGAGAGTGAAAAAATAAAAAAATGAGTAATACCTGTGATTCGAAAACATTGCAAGTTAGCCCTATTTTCTGAACTAACACCATTTCCACTATTAGCACTATCACACAAACTGTGAACCACAAATACAGTAGACATCATGCTAAATTCCGATATCAATATCTTTATGCATAAAGAAGTCTAGTCCGCTGTTGAATTCGAACCATACGCAGAAAACACAATTTTAAACACACTTAATAATTTATTAGAGTATTGATCTAATTTGAGATGTACTTCACATTGCTGATGGAATAGTAAAGAAGACCTAGCACAATTTAGAAACATTTCTAAGTAAGTTGGATCAAAATAAGGCAGTGGTTTATAACTCACTGTGAAGTTTTGCTGTTATATAGTGTTTCCAAGTTTTTACATCCTAGGTATGATAGTTTCGATAGAATTGAAAATAATTGTCAAAGAGTTGGATTCAGTTCAAAACACAAACCTGCTGGATTCCTTCCTGTCTGACCACGATTCGAAGAATACTTAGCTTGTTTCAAAGCTTCATTTGTTAAATCAAGTTCTTCTTTTAAAGATCTGAAGAAAAAAAGTAAGTAAAGGTTGTAAACAACAAGTAAAAAGTTGACATCTATGCACAGTGTTTTTATTTTTTATGATAGTCTTCATATATTCATTCTGAACAAAAGCAAGAACAAGAAACTACTCTAAAGATGAGCTACTGAATAACGAATTTTCATATTTGTTTTATATTCCAGGATTTATAATTAAACTAAACAATTTTGACAACAAGGTGATTGTATCTTTTTTACATTGGATTGCAGTCCTTTGTTCCTAACAAATACCTATTCAAGCCTATAAAATAATTTATTTCCACAAACTAGAAACTTTCTTATTTGATTCGCATATCGTAGGCGAGGTGATACAGTCGAAGTAAATGCTAAATTATTAGGACTTCAACGAGTTGAAAATTTAATAGGGATGGAAAAACTTTCTGTAAAATTTCATACCATTCAGAAGATTCAATCATAATTCATCAGTATTCTGAAAGTAAACATATTGATCAAAATTGTCTCACTCATTCAATCTTTTACTATCATCCAATTTTCTTTTCAAACTTTCTACATTTTGTTGATTTTCATGACGAGAAGGTGACGAATAGACAACAGGATCAGGGTTAAATGACAACCTGAAAACCAAAACATATTCAAACATATAGAAATTACTTGTTGAGCAAATCCTTTATTTATATTTCAATTCATCAAAGTGTTAAACAAAAAGAAAATCGACCATCACCTGCTGGTATCTTGTTTTCTTGGTGATGCTGCTACGACCCATGATCCACCATACGAAGCAGTACAACATTCCGCATCATTTGTTGTTGGCAGTCTACGTCTACCAGGTTGATAGTCAGTGTGACCTGAGAAAGTAAAATAATGATATAATAGAATAAAAGCCTTCAAGCAGGCCAGACATTCGATAGTTTATCGTGCCAGACATGTAAATTTTTTTTCACAAATAATAACAATTCATGATGACATAATACAGTTTAATAGTAAGTAGGTGGTTGTTGCAAGACATTATTTGACATCACCCGTTACAAGATTTCAGGTTAAAGCCCCATGTCCACCACCTCACCCAGGGTGCATCTATTTGGGGGGAGGGGGTCATGGCTGTACTTACAAATCACTGAATGCTGGTACAGATCCTTGTTTAGAGCATGAGGGGTAAAAAAATTGTGCATTCTACTTGTACATCTAAACAAAAACAGATAAATAAACAATTTTTTAAATACTAACTTACCTGCACCATTGTTGGTAGGAGGTAGATATTCTGTTACTGCAATAGTTCTTTGGTACATTGGTAAGCTTCTATTCAACCTCGGAGAAGATTGGTACGACTCATCAGCAGGTTGAAAACGTGGAGATCTACGGTCTGGTAATGGAACGTACTCGGTGTTCTGAACAAGAAAGATTCAAGATATTTAATTACTGAATATCAACATGTTTTTGTAGGCAGTAAGGTGACGAAAAATAAATTCCAACAGGGGATGAGTCATTCAAAATTTTACAAACTTTCCATGCTTTATTAGAGAATTTTAGCTCGACCTCCTACTTTCAAAAACTGAAAATTAACACACTGTCTCTGAAAATTTGAAAACATGACACAGTTATCAATTTCCAGTACAAAACAGCGGACTAATTGATACAGTAGCCTATTCCAAAATAATCTCAGTTCTGGATTGAATTATTCAGAAGTTTAAAAAGTGTGCTACAAAACTAACAATTAAATTGGAAAAACAAAAACAAAAAAATTAATTTACTACGACAACTGACAAATTAGTATCCTGTATCCTGATTTTATATCAAGAACAAGCATATATAACAACAACAACTTGAATTCTAAACTGTTGATAAATTGGAGGTAATAACTTCTCTATGAATTATACAATATTTCAAAATTGTTGGAAAAAGCACAGCCAAGTAAACCTTCCTTTACCTGACTGATTGTAGGCCGTAATGTGGGTGCCGTAAATTCTTCCTCAGGATTCGTATATATTGAATGACGAGATGATGTTGGCGTCAAATATCCCAGATGATCAAGAGAAATCTTCTGACCTTTGCCAAACTATAATATAGAAATAAGTTTGTATTTTTTAGAAAATCGTTGTTTGAATAGGTATTGAAATAAATTGCCTTTTAAACAAGTTGAAAAAGCTTCATTTATATATGATAAACAATTTAATGAATAATGGAATTGCAACTATAATGATGAGTTGTAAAAAATGTATACCAATTCAAGTTAAAATAAATATGATTTCCTTTTTTTCCGCTTAAACAGTACAGAAAACTGTAAAAAAATATTCGTTACAAAAACACATGATTAATTAAAATTTTTTACTGAATAAATTTCTGAGTGAATAAATTTTACCTTATGAAAATGTGTCTGAGAATCAATATCATGTTTCACACGAAGTAAATCAGAAACTCTTTCTTCCAAATCTTTGATCTGACGGTTCTTTGTATCTAATTCTTGATTTTTTCTGTAATTCGGAATCGAAAATCTTGTTATCATACATTGCAATAATAAATCATGAGGCATATGAAAAAAGATAGAACTAGACAAGATATATTTCCATGAATAATTCAACAGCTTAGATTCTGGACAAGCCGAAAGCGACTCATTTGTAGGGGATTTCAATGATTTCGGAATTAGAGGAATCTCTCAAATTCGTCAAGAGGCAGTTGTCATTTATTACACCGCTGTTAAGGTAACGGACATTGGGTATGAAATCGAGACCAGCTTTGATACCATAGTTAGCGATCAGCATCAATACTAATACCCATTTTACACTTTGGAGTGAATCCCTTTTAAATAGCCAAAATAAATATATTCAATAATATGGAAACATACTGTATTAATTGTGATGCTTGTCTTTCAGCAACTGACATTCCTCTAGATGTTGTTGATTCGTCGCTGTCGCTTGATAACGAACCATCGCTTGTCCATTCTGAAAATATAAATCAAAATAATAGTTGGCTTTATTCTTTTTCAGGAAATGGATATTATCGCCTACCCAATACATATAGAATCACATGCCTCAAAATAGAATTTTAACAGCTTGACAATTTAGATATTGTGCATGAACAACACTAGTATAAATAACATAAATACTATCATATCTAAAAAGATTTCAGAGCTTTCTTGTAGTGACAAGTTGGTTTACAAAACCACTTATTTTAGGCATTTTTGCAAAATATGTTCATGCATATAGTACAGTTTGATATTACCATACCCATCACAACTGCAAAAAAATGTACAATAGACTGTAGAGGCAGGCAAATCAATAAGTTGTTATACCGACTTAAGTATTAGGAAAAAAATTGAAAATAAATTAATGAAATGTTTATGTACCAGATAGTTGTTCTTTCAGGCGTCTTGTAAGTTGTTTACAACGATCTAGTTCATTTGTGACACTTGCTGCCAACATCTCGTCAGATTGTCCAGCAGCAGATTGCAACAATGATTTTATATAACGATGAACAATATCTGGAAGTATTCATATTAAAATCAAGCATGGAATAATGATAATGAAGAAAAAAAAATTTGGACAATTCTTCCACAATTGCAAAACATCGAAATTGAAACATAAAAATAAAAATCTTACCGTATTCTGTTCGAAGGTCTTTACAGATTTCTCTTGATTTTTTGAGTTGTTGACGGAGTGCAGAGAGTTCTTTAGCTTGTGCTTGGATGAGAGAATTGTATCTGAAAAGTAACATAATTCAATTTTTGAAACATTATCTCGAGTCTTAAACACTGGAATTATAAACAAGAAAGAAAGGTAAGCTTTCCATCACATTTAGATTTACTGTTGGTCAATATTTTCCTAGTTTCAATAGGTTAAAGTTAGAGCTTCGAACAAATCCAATTAAAGTAATGTCTGTCATTATCAAAATTCTCTCTCCAATAGACTAGTACAATGGAATTATTACCTGGTCGTTTTCCTTATTCTTACCATTATAAACACTATTATTTTATGTAAATGAAAAAAAAATAACAAAAAGTTTTGTAGATCGGACCTCCTGAGGTATGCGCACCAAGATGGCGCACAACCTCAACTCAGGTTGTGTACCAGGTTAGGGTTCAGGTTGTGTGACATCTTGGTATGCATACTTCAGGTGTACGCAAATGTTTGTATATGAAAAAAACTCATATTCAAAGGCACTAAACCCACTGCCTAAGTGGCGCCTCCTTGCTTATTAAGGCTTGCATAATGAACACCTTTAAAAACTAGCATTTACGGAATAGATTCAACTGTCCTAGATATTTTTCTCAAATTCATCCCTTTGTTAATATCCAAACCCATAAATTGTTACAAATTGAGTAATTCAAGATACTATTCACAGCGTGAATTTAGACATGTGTCATTGTTGTGAATATTCTCATTTGTAATCTTGTAAATCTAATCATTTGCAAACAACTTCCCTCTCAAAATTTTTTTTTGCACCCTCAACTATCATAAATTTCAACTATAGCATGTTCATTTCAAAAATTTCTCAAGTTTCAAATCATTTTTAACAATGAAAAATGCTTCAACTTTCAGCTAAACTATCTGACATCTCACAATCCTGATTCTCAATACTACAGATCTGAGTAAACAAAACAACCTGAAGTTGTTTCCCAAATAAGATATCCAGTAGGTGCTAAATCTAACACATGACAGCTAAGAATCAATTAGGGATCTTAAGAAATTGCATAACGAGGGCTTTACTGTTAAGCTGATTAGGGAAAGCAAAAACCATGAATTTAATTCTATCAAAGCCATACGATGAATATATGTGGGAGGAGAAAATTGCTCTCTTATTTTATTTTAGCACATTTATGACTTTGAATTCAAAAATTGAATCTTTTCGGGTACAATTTACAATAAATTAACTTTTGCTAAATAACGATTCAACTTTTTGCAAATCGGAATGAAAACAATATGTACATTCTACTACAGCTGCGTCCTGGCACTAACTACTGAAAAACAAACTAAAAGTACTGCCATACTGCTGCTGACGAACAGTGTAAAATGCGTCACCTGCATGCGGCCGCATGAACAACTGCATGGAATAGACAAACAAATTACAACAACCATAGACGAATGACAAAGAGACAAAAAGAGGGAGAGAGTGTAAATGGATGCAGACGACAGCTGAACTAAATCTATATTGGGCTTCCGTCCCATGGGATAAGACAGGCGCCATAGTTACTCTTAGTTTATGTATGATGTGGTATTCTTATGTAGATACATTCTTTCATCATTTAGTGAAGAAAATCTATATATTTGATATTGAAAATGCAATTACTAAACTGGGACAATTACTGTTTATTTGATTTTTAATTGGAAAGTTGAACAGAGAAATGAATAATTACAAGAATATCCTAGCTTATCCCCAGAGATTGTAGAGATGGATAACCTCAAAAAGGGTTTGGATTTGATAATATGTTCTCTACAAAATGATATAAAATTCGAGAAGAGCATTAAAAGTAATATATGTGGCACACAAAAGGCACAAGCTCCCTATGTACAGTGTTCCAGTCTAATCAATTCAATGACTTTGAGTGATGAGTACTTTTTTGAGTGTATTTTTACATTATCTCAATTCTCAATATATATGCTAAAATTTTAAAATTAGTCACAAATCATTTTTCCTGCCATGCAGAATCCACGAAGTGTCACATTTGGATCATGAGCTACTTCTCAAAATCCTAATATTATTCTAAAAGTGTTCATTTTTTACCAAACATCGTTAAAATTGGCATAACGTAAATATATAAATGAAAACTTACTTTTGTTCAGATCTTGGTGAGATGGATGCATAACCAGTATCATCAGCTGAGGTTTGAGTGTGTGTGTCGCTACCATTTGTACGATTGGTGGATGGACTTTTGAGTACACCTGTATCAAGAAGAAAAAAATGAACATGTAATTACCGGTAATTCCTTATCCCACAACACTGTTACATGCGCGACGAATGGTCATTGCGCCTACATGCTTAACAAATACTAGTAGACTCAATTATCTAGTAAAGCATACGTCAATACGATGATAAATAATAATAACTATTCTTTGAAGCCTACCTTTTCTTGGGCTAGTTTCTCTGTTAGGACTATCGGCACCGAATAAAAGATTGGGATGACTTCTAGCAGCTCGAACAGGAGACAACATTGGATCAGAAATACCAGCTGATGCTGAAAAATAATAAATAAAAAAAATAAAAAATCAGTAAAGATATAAGAAATCACTGTATCACCAAAAAAATTTTGTTATATTCAAATCATAAACTATGTTAATTATGTGGGGAAAAGTGGGCATATATATTGATTTTAACACTAAATATTCCCATTTCAATTATTTGAAATAAATTTGAATTATTTGAAATCTTGAAAACAGAATTCTAGAATACCGAAGTTATTCAAATAATGACTATACTATACTATTCCACATATATTTTTGTAAAAGCAGAAAAAGTGCATGCAATACTGACAACTTACCCATGGCTGCTTTTGCTCTTTTCAATTTCTCTGTTTGGTGACGTACAGTTTCTTCCGTAGCCGCTAGTTTACTTTGCAATTGTTCACATTTTGCTTTCATAGCAGCAGTGCTTTCTGGTTTTTCTTTTTTCGTCGGTGACGTAGGCACATCTTTTGGTCTCTGAGCCTGGAGTAAAAATATAAAAAAGTTAAGAGCCAAACGTAAATTTGATAAATCATATTTCATTGTTAAATTTCTTACCCTTTCAACAGGAACAGGTAATTTACTTCTTGATGATGAACGTGATGCTCTACCATGCTCCTCTGATTTCCTGAAATAAAAGTAATATATGAATCAACAACAGACTTTTCTACTAAAATCGAAACCAATTCTTGGAAATTGATGCGCTAAAATCTGACTAATATTTGTAAGTTATACATTTATACACACAGTTCATTATTGACAAAAGTAAATGAGTCTCTTTAGGCGAGATGAAACATGACTGTTTTTTTGTCAGTTTTTGTCATTTGGTAATAATAAGTTTTGAATGTCAACCATTTGAAATTTCTCACTATAGCTGATAATTTGTAGTTTTTTTTACAGTAAACAAGTTCAGTTGTCCATAAAAAGTCAAGTCACGTAATATAGACACGCTATTAGGTATTGCAGATTGAGGTTGTTAAAGTTCTAAGTCCAAATCCAAGTATGTGAAAAAATGGGTAGATATCGTTAAACTAGAATGGTTAGTAGCATTGACTAATTAAATATTAGTGGCTGTTTCAGCTGAGCTTTGATCGGGATGGAGAAAAAATTGATTTAAAAACAATAATTTTCCATACCTTCTTGTTTGATCTTGTGCATCCTTCAGTTCTTCTTGAGCATCTCTTAATTGTTGTTTTAATCGTTCAACTTCTGATGACAGATAACTTGTTAAATTTGGATCAACATATCCAGCAGAAGAATCCGGTCGTTTTGGTGTTGATTCAAGTTGATCGCCCAAAAGCTCATTCAACTGCGATACAAATGTGAGTTTAAGTTCGAAAACAGTTTTTATCTAATGTTGAGTGTGTCTTTCAACACTTCCAAGTGAATTTAATAAACAATGATATATGTTATTGACGTTTTAATGATTTTCAACTGAATATTATAGAGCAATATTTTTCTGCAAAGTTGCAATAAAGAATCCGGTCATGAATGCACAAAATTTTTTTTTTTCCATATATTTACAGAATAACAAGTGTTTTTCATGAGTTTTCAACTTTCTACATTCAGAAAGTTCACAGTAGAAAGTAATACAAGCAATAAAAACATCATCATACTTTCTCTGCATTCTGAAGTTTCTTTTTAAGATTTCCGATGAATTCACGAAGCTCTCTCCTCGACAAAGCTCCCATTCCATCAGATTCATCTCCAGAACATCTGAAAAAAAATGCTTAGAATTTCACAAAGGAAGTAATGTGAATTGTGAATCATTATAAAGAATTCTACACAATTATTACATATCTAAATGTTGTACATTGGACTGCCGTTTCTGCTAATTGAATGCACTGTAGATAGATATCAAATACGAGCATGATTTATTATCATCTCATGTATGATAAAGTTTAGTTTTTAACAAATACATACATACATAATACATACATAGATCTCGCATTATCAGTATCTGAATCCCTTCCAATTTTCAATTGCAAAGCTCGTAGTCTGTCAACTTCTATTCTAAGTGATGACATTTCACTATCTTTCATTTCTCTAAAAAATTAAACAATTTTAGATAAAAAAATCTCTGAGGAAAACTTGAATGATATAATTTGATGAAAAAAAAGTTCACGCATGACCTACAACAAATTATGACAGCAAAACCGTATTTACAATGTAAGGGGATTCTTCCGCAACAAACCTTCAAAATAGTCATTCAAATGCCTCTTCTTTATTACCTACTGTTCACCTACCCATAAAATGGGCTGGAAGTAACTAACAAAATTTTTAAGCGTAAAAGAGCAAAAGATTAAAAATAGAGAGAGAAAAGAAAAGACGGCCTATACTGACACCTATAAATATCAAAAACGAATAAATTTCAATCGCATTTATTATCTAAAATTTTATGCTCTCATAAACTTTGGTTATATTAAATTTCTTTTATCTTACCCTTCCTTAACGACGGCGTCCAATTTTTTTTGCAACAATGAAATTTCTTTGGACTTGTCTTCGAGTTGGTCACGGAGGGTATTTATGTTATGATCAATCGATCGTAGATCCGCAAGTTCCCTAATAGCATCATCTAACTCCGCCCTGCAATTCAAATATTGAAACAATGTAAAGGTTCATTGTTATAGTAAAAGGAATATTTGTCAATTTATTGTGGAGTATTAATAAAATGTGTGGTAGATTATAAAACAGATTTAAATTTTTTTCTGATGTTCTCAATAAACAAGACCTCATCAAATAAAAGTTCACTATTTGCCCCCTTTCCCCCTCAACATTTCAACCTGTTAACTCTTACGAGCTACGACACACAAATCATAAATCTATGGAGTCACTACTTATAATAAAAACATAATGGTTATTTGAAGTGGGATAATAAGCAAATGTTTGTCGCGGTTCTCCGCCTCAACATAAAAGAGGCCACTCATTGACAATTAAACACTTGTAAGCACACAATAGGGTCCTTAGATTGCTCTTTATCAATGTACGCTCAAACAAAAGGGGGGAAAAAAGGGAGAGATTGTCATAAATTGACCCAGAGTCATCACAGTTGAGCCAACATGAGCAAGTATTTTATCTAAATCATGCTACTTAAACAATGGTCGGACCATGTAAGAATGCGTACCATTTTTCAACATTTATTTACAAAACATGCATGATAAATTAATTTCTGATCAAATTAACTCGAAATTTTTCTTTTATATATGATTGATTAAAGATCATATGTGGGCCATATATATAAGGGAAATTTGCTCTCAAGAGCACCATTGGCCAAAGGAATTCACTCATATTCAAAGATTTGATTGCCTGGTTAAATGTCTTTGGAATTCGTGAGAAATATTCCCTGATATTTACAGAATACACATGTCATAACATGACCACTGAAAAAAGCTTATTAAAAAAAATTTCTCCACCGATTAAAGAGTCATATAGTGAGCAAATATTTTTTGACCAGGAAAAAAAATTTTTGAAAATTTATTTATTTTGGGAGATTTATAGCGTCATGAGAAACCAGGTAAATATTTTTTCATTAAATTGAGTTTTACGATTTTCTAAGAATTAAACATTGAAAACGCCTTAAATGAAGCATCACAATGATTGCATTAAATTAAATGTTGTGGCCATCGTCATCAATATGCAAAATAAATATTTATGAGTCTATTTAGGGATGCCTGTGTACTACTAGTACACAGCATGGCATCAAAAAATTAGATTTCTGAGTGAAAATACTCTACAAAAATGACTTCACCCGCAATACCAATCTTAAATATAAATGCCGCTTATTTAATTGAAGATTAAGGACAATTAACAAGTGCGTTCAGTGCTCTAATTAGAATTTTGATGTGATTCATTGGTATCATTCAACAATTCATAATAATATTGCTTTTTAATAAAGTACAGGAATAATAAAACAAAAAGAATAAAACTTTTGTATAGAACAAGGTATAATCATTTTATATGAATATAATCACATAAGTGCTGAATTTTAATATACTTCAGATTGAAATTTTTTTTTTTTCAATTTTACACAATATTTTACATTCGACGTTTTGTGTAATCAATCCTACTGATTAGGCCCTACACTTGAAAATGAAGCTCTATATTTGCAAAAACAATTTTTTTTAAATTTTGCATTATGGACCTTATCAAACCTTAGAAAATTGTACCCGTGTTGACCTAACATGGTTTCATCAATTACTGTTAAATTATAGTGCTTTAACTGCATACATGATTTTCTTTGCAAATCTTGGTAACAATTTCAATTTCAAAAAATTGCAAATGGTAGTACCTTGTCTTTTCCAATTCAATTTGAAGATCGTTGATAAATTTCTCTTGATCATCAGCATTACTATGATTACTGACGAGAGTATGATTGCTTGTATCAAGTACGGGTGGTATTTCCATGTATGAAGTTTGATTCATTGGAAATATTGTTGATGACACACTTTGATGAAGATTATCATTTGCCTAGAGAATTAAAAACTATGTGAGGAAGTGTATGTATCTTACAAGAGATACAGTGTGATTCGGGAATAAAAAACATAAATTTGCCTAATTACTTCTACGAAAATAAAGAAAATCTATTCAAAACTCGAATTTCTGTTTGTGCATGATTGTACTCAGAAGTTTCAGTTTTTTTTTGTGGGGGATTACACAGTATTACTGTTCTTAAGATAGCTCACAAATCAGGTAAGTTAATATTCAAGTAATCGACCGAACAGCCAAGTTTGTGACCCATTAAATAGCAATAAAACAACAAGTTTTTAGCAATAGTCTGTGATATATAACAAGCAAAGCGTTAGACATATAGCTCTATGGGGTTCCAGTATATTTAGAATGTTGAATTTTTTTCAATTCTGTTAACACAATTTATTACAAATTAAGTAAGATACAGGAACTACTCATTTAATGAGCCAAACTGTAGAGAATTACAGATAATTAATTTGCAATGCCTAGAAAGCCATTTAATTCAAAATTGCGATTATTTTGTCATCCCAAACTTACCTGTATATTTACATCTTCTGTGTTTGAAACATCCAGTAATAATGTTTTTAATCGGTTTCTTAGATTACTAATCTCTTTCAATCTTCTTTCTAATCTTCGTTTATATTTCACAGAATCAGTACCATCTTCAGACTCCTAAATAATAAATAAATGATTTTTCTAAAAAGCAGAACTTCCAAATGCAGGCTTATAGTTATATTTCTTAGCAAAACAAAATAGAATCACACATACTAACACTGCTGGATGAGAAATCACAACAGTAGTTTTTGCTGTCAATAACACATATTCTCCTTTTCATGAACTAACGTATTTCCCTCTTAAAATAAAAATGACAATTTATTTCAATCGCTCGAGTTATCCTTAAATTACCACTTTTACATATTATGACAACAATAGAGTATATACTTAAAGAGGAAAACATTTGCTGATTTCTATGGCATAGACATTATAGAGCAGTGAGAGTGTCTGTGAGTACTCTTTATCAATAACTAAGGGCTTTAAAGGTGAAGTATTTAAAGTTGTCTGATTCCATCATTTAAAAATCAAGAGAGCTTGTAAGTTGTAAGTGTGGTGTGACACCTTACCCTAGTTGTTATTGAATTGCCATAATAACATAGATATTCCATCTAGAGTTCTAAAGTTCAAGCCCTGAGGACATTGATCAACCCAGGACCAACACCTCTTTCAAAATGCATAAATTTGTAAACATTTATTGACAATTTGCAAATTTGGCAAATCCCAAATAATTTGCTAAATCAGACCTGAAGTCTAAACATAACTTTATGAATGATAATATACAACGAATTCATTACTAAAATGTTCAGATAAGTTTATGAGAACTATTTAAACTTGAAACTAACTATCGCATCCCACCACAGATTTGAAAGAATGAGCACCAGAAACTGAAATTTTACAAATTTTAAGAAATTAGACATACTGTACATCGAAGTAAATCTATAAATTTAAAATTCATTCTTACGGAATGTGATGCATGAGAAGATCCTGTTTTACTATTAAGATTGAGTTGTTTTTTATAAATTTTTTGTTCTTCTGACAAAATATCTGAGAGACGTTTCAAATATTCTTTTTGTTTCTCAACTTTCTCCATAATCTCTTTCGCATTTTGTTCATCGCGGTGTACTCCTGAAAAAAAAAGAAAATAATCCTATAAGTCAAATAACATAACTTGCATAATATGCGATTATTGGCCAAATAACAGTTCCTAGCCAAATCAGTGGTCTACCACACAGTTTGTAAAAATTGGGTATGTCACACTGAATTTAAAATAATATCATTAATGTATAGGTGAATAAATGCTATTACTGTACAATAATATTGGGATGCGGTAATTCAAATGAGTCCAAATACACAAAGACAAAAATGGAAGCAATATTTAATTAAGAACACGCCAGGCACAAGACATTCAAAGAATAATTACTCTCAAGCCGAGGGTCACTGGTAATCAGAGTCTTGACTCAAGTTTGAGTCCTCCCAAGTTTAATTACTCAAGTGATTTCTAAAGTCCGAGTTTCAGCTGGGTCATCTTTGAGTCTCGGAAAATTTAGGACTCCAAACACTGGTACAGAGCACAACTTCAATTCAAATTACCTAACCCTGTTATTAAAACCAATCTACTTTAAAAATGTGTTACCTTTCAATGCTTCAATTTCTAAGTGCAACTGTTGAATTTCATTTTTCAATTCTTCTTTAATTCTTAGACCATGGTGATCGTTAGCAACACCGTTTTCTGATGACAAGAAATCCAGTTCATCATCATCTGTAAATTTTAATCCAGTGTTGGTTGACGAGGAATGAATTGAGAAATTGTCTCCCCTTTTATGATGTTTTGATTTTCGTTTTGTAAATCGCTGTTGACGATGCTGAGAATCTTTGCTGCGACCCATGTTTTCAGTTGTGGTACTGGAACCTTCTTCCGATTCAACAGTGGGGAATCGACGGGAAGCTTTGAGATCCTGTGATAAAATTAGTAAGCATAATAAGATTATGAAATAAGGCTTTACTTTAAAAAAACACAAGGTAAGGTTCGATCTAAATATTCTGTAAAATGAATTCAATGAAATTGAATTACTATGACAAAACACAATTCTCCTTTATCTTAGAGAGTGGACAGCTAGTAAGGCTGGGAATCATATAATAAACAACAGACAGCCAGTCATCCAGTCACAAGTTCATATCAGATATTGTCAATGTCATATATGATTAAATGTTATGCAGTTTTAGGAAGTAAATAATGCTAAGCAGGGAACATAAATATACAGTCTTTGTACAAACACTAATTGGACTTACATAGCCCAATATACCCTGCGCTCTCTAAACGCATGTTCAAATCTTGCATGGAGATAATTACGTGCAAGATGACTGCTGACCAGTTACGTCTTCCACCACTATCAAGTCCATGGATCCGAAAGACATAAATATTTTACTATTCCAATACCTGACGTCACGCCATGAACTGGGGTTTGAATGAGAGGCTACGATTGGTCAATATGATCAAGATGTCTATCACCTTCCCTATCCTCTGGCATAAATATGAAAATCCTATCCTACGAACCTGAATAACACGATCTTTGGCATCACAAGCTTTGTGTAACGCTAGTATTTGTTGATGGCTGTTTTCAAGTTCTGACGTCAAAGTATTGATCATGTTCTTAGCATTGTTCAATTCTTTCTTGTGATTTTCAAGATCAATTCTCAAAGAATCCAATACAGCATTCATACTTGATGTGTCTTCACTTATTTTTGACCTAAGAAGTTTACGACTCATTAAATAACGATAAATCACAAGAATAGTTAAAAGTTTTATCCAATATCTATCGCTGAATAAATTGACAAACAGAAAGACTAGGCCTATTGGAAATTTAAAACAAATACAAAATGATAAACAGTTTTGACTGCCGAACTGCAAAATTTATTAAGGTTAATTGTAATAGCCCATAACTCTAAACCTAGGGTAAAAGAAGAAGAAAACTGTCATAAGATTTCAAAGCATGAAAAATGGTCTGGAACACTCCCACAGAAACATAAAGATACAAGAAGAGTTTAGAACAGATACTCACCATGTAACAAAAGCATTATGAAGTGAATCTTGAAGTTGTCTTGAAAAAAGTTGAAAAAAGAAAAGAAGATGAAAAGAATAAGAAAGAGAAGGTATTGAAGAAAACAAGAAAAAAACAAAACAGAATTCAATAAACAGAAGATCTTCAACCGAAAAAGTAGAATAAACCAGTTTTTCAGTTAAATAACACCTTTTGCATGGTAGGTAGGTAGTATCAGACAAATGAATTTTGAACTGAAGTAAAACCAATATATTTTATGATTACACCTTTAATTTATTTACTGTAAAGATACTTTATGACACCCAGTGTAAGCAAGGGAACTTTTTTCTAATTTCTTCAAAATCTAGGGCAGTTTTCCCAAAGCATACGAGAAATTTATTATAAATTACCTCTCATCTGCTATAATCTTATCTTTTCTAGCGATTTCTCTCTTCAATGAATCAATATAAGGATCATCAGCATTTTGTTCGTTTTGCAAGAAAGATAATTCAGCTTCTCTCGCTTTCAATAATTGCTTCAATTCAGCGTTTTCCCTAAAAATAAAATATTGACAAGACATCATTACTATAATAAACACAAAAATGTAAATATTGCCATTTTAATCCAAATGTACTTAAAATAGCGACCCATAAATATCAAGTCAAAATCTATGAGATATCATTCCTCCAGGTATTCCTTATGATCATGGCATATTCAATTTATGGTAAAGAATTTTTAATTAGGGCATGAAGAATTATTGTCTAAAGTACAGATAACATAAACACTGTTCTTTTCAGAACAAAAAATCTTTGAATGATTTATGCCAAATTCTGAAAATAGAGTTGGATAATTGTGTGCAATTCTCAATTCCTACAAACATCGCACTTGAACATGCTTGGCACTTTGCTCTTCAGCAAAACGTAAAATTACCAGCCAAAATTTTACCTAGTAAGTTTAATAATCTGCTTTTGGTTTGTATTTGTTGCACTATTTCCAAGAGCTTCTAAGCTTTCTGTGAGTTCAGCAATAACAACATCTTTCCGAGCGCTATCTTCTTTCCATCTGGCGGCTTCTCTTCCACTCAGAACAGCTTTATCACGAGCCTCGTGAGCAGTTCTATCCAGTTGTAATAAATCGTCCTCGAGGTTCTGAAACATAAAAAAAATTAAATGTAGAGTTACACTAAAAATATCGTACAAACAAAGTAAAATTGTAAAAACGTTGAAAGTTGTTTCGTTTACAGCTGTGGCTTCTCTTCCAAAGCCTAATTTAAACAAATGTATGTAATAATTTTAATTTTTTTTATGAAGTTTTTTTTGTGGGTCTGATATTTCACCCAAATTTTGCTGGTATAATAATTCTCCGGAGAAGAAGAATATGACACAGTTATTCTAACATTGGTCTGGAATTTTACTGACATTGTATTATTATTATTATCATCAATATATTATATTCCCAATATTCATTTAACCTTCCCGTCCATTCATGCATCAATTATCATTATGGTAATATTCTTGTTGATTTTCACCTGGATAAAAAAGTAAGCCTAGTTTGCTCGTATTTACGTTACATTCCAATACCTGTAGTCGATCTTCTTTCACTCTAATTTCTTCCCTCAATCTTTCGATTTCAGCAGTTTTAGCAGCATTAATTCGATTTCTCGACTCCATTTCTCTTTTTTGTTCAGCGTCTCTACGCTTCATTGCTTCTTCCAGTTCATTAAGAGCAGTTTTTCTCTCATTTTCAGCTTTTTTGAATAAATTTGTTGCGTCCTGATATGAAAAAAATCAATTTTGTATCATACAAGAGTCAGAAATATACATTTGTGACTTATTTTGAGCTTGTCTGTTCTCGCTAATTCCTAGATATGCCTGGCCCAGGGCGACCCAAATACTTTAATATTTTTACAATGCTGTTTTATGATTTAGTTTCAATATTTAAAAGGCTTCCATATTAATTTAAAGCAAATTTTCCTTATTTTTTTAAAAATATTTTCTGTATTAATAAATTCTACTTCATTTTTATTTTAGTTCCAGAGGGTTGCAAAAAAATTCGGCCGTGTCAAGTGGGTCGTAATGAAAAAAGTTTGAAGAATACTGACAGAAACAACACAATACAGCGAATTAAGAATAACTAATAAATTAATTCAATCATCCGCCTACCTCTAATTGAAGATGCTTAGATCTCAGATGACTTTCAAGATTATCTATTTTTTCTTGTAATCTCGAAATTTCTTGAGACTTATTAATGTCTTCTGCATCTTGCGCACATTCTTCTAACTGTCGTTTGGTGTTATTCATCATTTCAGCAAATTCTTTCTTTTCTTTTTCAAACGTTTTCATCATTTCCTCTTGTTCCTTGAATATTTTGTCTTTCGTTTGTTCATCATCCTAGAATTCAAATCAGTGCAAAAATTTATTTATGTGAAAAAAAAAATCAAAAATAAACTGCAATCGAATGAAAATAAAACTGAATTTAAAAATACTCTGAATTAACTCGGATGACAGTTGGAACGTTATAACGAATAGGATGTGGTAAAGTTGTATATTTTGATCCAAGACTTTATTCATTTACTTGTTTTTGATTACATCCCAAATTCATTGAAAACTATCGTTACCAAATTACACAATCTTGAATACTTAAAAATAAAATGAATTTCACGTTTTGATTCGAATCTTTAATATTTCTCCTATTGTGGGAAAGTACTGACATACCTCAAAAAAGAGACATTCTAAATATTACTATAAAATCCTATTAATTGATCCTATATTTTTAAAATAAATCCATAGATTTTATTGAAAGTTCCTTAAAACCTATGACATAATCTGTAACAGCAAATTTATGCCACGTTGCCAACGCCACGACATGATTATGATGTAATAATTCATGACTAATTTGCTGCAATACATTTATCGATAACGTCTCTGATTGAGAATTGGATTGCAATAAAAGGTCATGTCCAGACAGAATTTGATTCCTATCATACCTGATCCATAGATCGCTAATGTCTATGGAATTTTCAAAATCACTTCATAGAATAGCAAATTTCTACCCGCTATGAAATAATATCAAAATTCAAAATAAAAGCAAACCAAGACCAATTATGTATGTGGCAGATATTTACAATTTTCGCTTTAGTCAGCTGATAAAAAAAATTTCTTCAAAAAAATTTAAAAGAAAAATGAATCTGGAAATGTGGCGCGCTTGACCGGGAGTCACCATGAAGATGATAATATTGCACATTAGGCATGTTGAATCCTTACCTAACAGCCTAAACTATTGTGCCAGAAACACACAAAATAACAAACAGCCTCACACACATCTTGCTACCTGGCACTTATACTAATAATACAAATTCCATACCTGTTGTTTTTTGAGCAATTCTTTATATTTGTTGACAAGCTCCTGCATATTTTTATCTTTTTCTTTCAAATTTTCATCAAGGGTTCTCACCAATTCTTCATTACTTTCCAACTGAAATATGAAAAGACACCTTAAACTCACTCAACTCTGAGCATAAGACAATTTCCAACAAAAAGTAAAGCTGTTCAAAGTAACTAACAGAACCAAAATTTTGAATTATCCAGAATATGGTGTTTAAGACTCTCAAAGTGATAATCATGAACAAAAATTTCTGACAGAAGCTCAAAAAGCATTAAGTTGATGAAATATTTCAAAACAAAATTTCAAAACCAAAGTTTGTGCATACGCCCAATTTTTTGTTATCAAAATTTTATTTTCTCAGAGCTGGAGTGAGTCAAAACTTCTCTCAACCTGGAGTTGAGTATAAGTTTTCTTGAGTCCAGAGTCATGCTCGTGATCTTGTGTTAACAAAGTATTAGCAGCAACAAAATACTTTTGACTCACTTGGGAATTTAATTTTTGATTTTGTATGTCCAAATCCATATTTTGATTTTTTAATTCTTGTAATTCTCTTTCCAGTTCTCGTAATCTTTTCAATCTATCATCAACAGAGTCCTGCAAATAAAAAGTGATGTTTTAATCTTTATTTATAAGTTGAAACAGAAAGTTTACTATGAGTTTCTAAGAAGTATGATTAAGTGGCAATTGGAAGTTAACAAGAATTATCGGTCAGTACAATCATGTACTTACTCCCAGAATCAATTTAAAGTGAATAATAAATTTATTCTCAGACAAGCATGGTCAATTGTTAAATCGAGCTTTGAAAGCTCGATTTAACAATTGCCATGCTTGTCTAAGTGTAAAGTAACAATACAAACCTCTTGCGCATTGAGTGTACTTATTGTACTGGTCAGCTCCTCCAGACGAGACTCTCGACGAGAAATATCTGATTTTAGATTCGTTATTTCATCGTCTTTCTTTCGAATTACTTCCGTTAAACCCTGGTGTAAATATTGAAGGACATTCATTATAATAAAAAAGGGTAATGTTCAATTACATGTACAGAAAGAACAAATGAATAATATGACCTCTTCAATGCCAGCAAGATTCATTGGAATGCTAAAATAATTATTTTTGAAGTTGGATGAAGGTGCATCAGTGAATTTAAAAAAAACAGAAAACTTAGAGGTGAAATACCGGGCCCTTGTAAGACTCAACAACACAGCAACAAACTTTGGAAACATCCAATTTTATTTTAATACACGACGAGTAAGGTACATTGACTGGAGCAACATTAAATTTTAGCAATTAAAAATAGCTTCAAAGTATCAACTAAGTTATACGGTTAATTCAGATAAGTGCATTTGAGACAAAGTTGTAGAACATTAGACTACTGTTCATAATATCACAAAAGCATTTCAACAAATTTCAAATAGTGATTAAAAAGACCAAAACCGAAAATATCATCATAACTTGAAAACATGAAAAAACAGATTATTACAGAATGATTGACAACTCACAGAAATAGCTTTATCTCGCATTAAAAGTTCTTTGGTCTTTTGAGAATCTTTTTCGCTCTTTAATTGGTCATAACTATCAGCAAGTTCACGTCCTGTTTCTTCTGCATCTTTGAGAGCAGCAGTCAGATCCTAAAAAAAATTAGATATCGTTAATTATGAGTAAAAGACTGAATTTGGCATTCAATTTGATCAGAGTTACTACTCACTTGAACCTCTTCCTCTCTCTTCTCGAGTTCTTCACTCATCTGGCGAGCTGCAAGCTCAAATTCATCTAATCTTTGCTGTTGTTCAGAGATGTGTTGCTGAAAAATTAGTTGTTGATGATTATCGCAATGCAAGTACTTTTGAAATTTGCCTGTATCTGGGTAGATTGGTAGGTTGAAATTTGCCTTGGAATATTGGATAGGAATTTGAAAATCATCATTTACATTTGGGGTATGTTCAACAGTACTAATGACTGAAAAAACATGAAAATTGCTTTATGGGTATCCTTTTTAGTAAACAATTATTCATTTGATAAGAAAGAAATTCACCATTGGTTGCAACAAAAAGTTAGAAAAAAGCATTCAAGGCATAAAACTGCAGCAACTTGCTATATGAAACAAGCTTTTTTCACACAGAACTGTGAAAATCACCATTTAAAGCAAAGATAATGCATGCTGCCTTGTAGAAATTTCTTGAAGGTCACTTGTAGGAAAACTTAAAAATGCAATTTATGTCAATGGATGAGGCAAACAAAAATGCTTAATGAACTGAAAAAGCAAGCTGAGATGTGGTAACAGGTTTGCCTATTCTACAAGCAATATTGCAAATAAAACGATTTTAAAAGATGACTTGAGTTCCGAATAAGATAACATAACATACTATTTCTTCATCTAAACTCAAATAATATGAACACAAGATAAAAGCAAAATAAAGAGAATGGCATATCAAACAAAAAAAATGCACACCAAATCTATACAGCAGTTGTAAGCTATACACCAGTTGTACTCAGCCATCAAGGGTGCCCATTTGTTAAGATAATATTATTTTGTGAACAATTATATCCAATCCCAAATATTTGAAATGCTGTTAATTTGGCATTTACGTTAACAAATTTTTTTGACTGCTTGCTCGAATTTTTAGGAAAAAAAAACATTTTCAAAAACAACTTCAACATCAAAATCTTGGGACATCCCTAATGACCGTTAAAATTTAAATATATTAGACAGTTAGGTATTAACGATATGCATCATTCCATTCCATTATCATCATGCTATTACCTGATATTCATGTTGCAATTCAATATAAGTCTAAGTATGAGAAAAGTTATATAAATTACATGAACAATCATGTTTTCATGTAGAATGGAATGTTCAATAATGCTTGATTTGAAGAGAATGGTATTAATTGTTAGTAGACAAATATCATAAAAAAAAAAAAAATTCTTTGCCATGAACATTTGCTGTAAGGTTATCAAGATATATCTACGGTAAAACCTACTTATAGCTCTATAATATTTACTGTACCCAAGATTCAGTGGATTCAAGATTCAGTGGATTCAAGATTCAGTGGATTTAGTCATTTCAACTATAAAAATCGATATCTGCACCAGCTGACACTTTAAATTTAATTTTTACCATATATTCAGAACGTAATCTTTCATCTTGCTGTTTAGTTTTGAAGATTTCATTTTCAAGTTCCTGAAATTACAAGAGAATCCAAAATTAATAGGACACTAAACATATATTGAAATACTTAAGATATTGGAAACCTTATCATTATGAGAATAAACAAAATTATTATTAGGGTTTTTTGTAAAAATTTATATGATTATTGTCACAAAATCTCGACTTTCCTGCTAAACAAACAAAATTTAAAATTGAAGTACAATTGTCACATATTTTTTCTAAACTTTTTCTTCTTCACTCCAAACAAGGCCCAGTATAAGCTGTCACTAACAAGCAGAGAGCTACTTTATTTTTCGAAGAACAGCATTTTTTCTAGTTTGGCATGGCTTACCCGATCAATAACATTCAGACTAATGAAATAAAAAATGCATTAGGCTGAATTCAAATATAAAACTCCTAATAGGTAGTTGTATATTGATTTGCATTGTAGAATAAAAGAAGATAACTTCAAATACCTTGTTTTTATTTTCTAAATCATTAATTGCATCATTGCATTCTTGTAAGTTATTTTCTTCACTTTGTTTTTCATCGTTCAACGCTTCTAACATGGTTTGTTTTACTTCCAATGTCTGTCGAAGTTGATCAATTAATCTGAAATTTTTTGATAAAATACCAATGTTTTTTCTCGAATATCGTATATTTCGGATTGTGGGATGAATAGCAGGTACAAGTAATTAACGGATATATGAATACATAAACAATTTTGTTACAACAAAACTTGCAATAAATGCTGTTTGAAATTTCTAATGTTTTGGGCTCCTAAAATAAAAATTGAGCATATCATAAATGTCATATTCATCATATTTTATAATTCTACTGTAAGCAAGATATATCATTAAAAACATTTAGAACCGAAGAATTTAAAATATTAAATTTGGCATCAAACTAAATAGATATAAAATTTAAAAATAAATAGTAAAATACACAGCAAATATTATGTAAAAATTATGTTCTCACTTTTCTTTGTTCTGTAAATCTTCTTGGAGCAAATTCAATTCCGCTGGACCAGGAGTTGATAATGAATTTTGTTCGTTGTCTTCTTCATACGGTAAAGATTCTTTGACAGTCTCAAGTTCAATGTTAGCATGATCAAGATCTTGTTTCAATTTATCATTATCTTTCTCCAATTTGTGGGCATGATCCTGGAAAAATTCTATGTTTTTAGTTATTTATCTACTACCCATTTACTATATCAGTGATTCATAAAAGGGCCGCTAAGAGGGCACTTCGCTGAGTGCAAAGTAAAATTAACAGAATTGTGCTATACATACCTAATATATGATTGAATATTTTACATATTGTATTTATTATGAAGGTTTATTGTATCTCATTTTAGTATTGTATGAATGAATCAATGAATTCAGTTTAACTGATTGATTAAATTGAGTTTTAGTTGAAGGCAGCGTTTTTGGTGAATAAGTGCGCCGTGAATTTTTTCTCCAATAATTTGGTGCCGCACGAACAGAAGTTTGGAAACCGCTGTTACTGTACCAGAGGTTTAATTCCAATTCAATCTATCAATAGTATGAAGGACTTGAATAGGATATTGGTCTTGGATGCATTTTATAAATTTCCTTTTTCATAAATGTCTTCTTATGTCATAGAGATCTACTCAAATCCCTTATTAGGAGCAAAGTCCAAAAAAAGCCACTGACATGGAGAGCTGCAGAAATGTATTGAAAGTTCTCAAGTCACCTTTATGAGTTGGTCAACGCCATACTAAAGAAGGGAACGAAACTACCCACATTCAAGTAGACAGATTGAATTAAACATCGAAAAAAAGTTTTAAACAACTAGTTACAGGTAAAATTTTCCAGAAAAAATCCATGAATTTACCTGTAATTTCTGTACATTCTCAGCAAGACTATCAGCTTCAGCTCTCACTTCTCTGAGTTCCTATGAAAATATCAAAATAAACTTTAATAAAAGCTATCAGACAAATATCAACAACACATGGACATGGTATTATAAATAGGACTGATACCCAACCTATGCTTAATGGGGAACAATTTTTGATCAAATATCTTACTCTGTCTGCTTCTTGGACTCTTTCATGCATAGCATCTTTGACTTGTTGTAATTCTTTTTGCGCTGTTTCCTGAGCTCTTCGAATTTCCTCTGGTCCGGCTTCCATAGAAGCGACCGCATTCCTACAAAATAACACATTTGAAAAACTTGAATTGTTTAAATTGTATAGAATAGAAAATATTATTGAAATCTTTTTAGTTGCACAACAACCTTAGTAAATACAAGAATACAAAACAAAAGCAGTTGACCAGGGTTCAACCATGAGCTTCATAATGATGGGTTTAGAAGATTATCGGAAAATCGTCCTTGTTATGAAATTTTATGATAGTAGGATAGTTTATTATTAAACACATTTCATTGTGATAGAGTCGACTAGTTTTCTCATTCGCTTCAAACGATCAAATTCAAAGAAAAAAAATAATTTATTTTAATAACCAAAACAAGTTTTTCTTTTATGTTTTCCAGTATCGGACAATTATCAATGGTACCAGAAGCCTGTAAACACATGAAGTACATACCATGCATCGAACAGTGCATTATTAAATGCTTTGTAAACAGTTCAGCCCTTCAAATGGGTTATCATATCGGACATAACCTCTTGGGGATGCACAAACTTGAACAAGTTCAGAAGCATTGTGTTGTGTCAGGTGTTGACAGCTTATTACTTTGTAAGATAATTGGTAAACCACACAATATAACACATAACAAAGAAAAAAAACAAATCAAGTGATGAGAAAGTCCTTATTAACCTAAATATACACAACAAACATCTGCTATTGAACATCACAATAGCAATGTAATTTGTCCATTACAAGAGATCAAAACGTTCGTTGATACTTTGAACATGAAATGGACTAATGCCCAGAAGATTGTGACAGCTCAGAGATACGGTTAGGTTAATTAATAAACTCTCTCTGTATTGTCCACTCCCAGCATTGAATCCCAATAGGGATTGCACCATATCAATCTCTAGGGATACATGAAGATGACGTACTGCATATTACATTTCAATAACAACTAGGTCGGATAAGTTAATAAAGGCCTTAAATGGAGATATAGCATCAGATAATATGCTATTAATATTAGATCCATTAAATGATTTTAAATCTGTTTTAATCCATTATAATTATGACATTCGCACCATTTGACATTAGATAATAAAATGATCCATCAGTTTTATAACATTATATTGGCCATTGCTGGTTAAAGTGCTGCAGGGTATGCCTAAAAATGTGGTTGAATAAAGAAATTTGGGACCTCCTGAAATATGCGCACCAAGATGGCGCACAACCTGAACTCAGGTTGTGTACCAGGTTAGGGTTAGGTTGTGCGACATCTTGGTGCGCATACTTCGGGAGTACCGAAATTTGAATATATTACTAGGCGAGAAATAAATTTTCAATACTTCAAATCAAAATTACAGTTCCTCTGTATAAATTTGATATTTGGAATATTCAATATTAAAAATCATTGCATATTTGATTAACGTTATTGTCAGTAAAAGTTTTTTTACAATTCCTATAAACTTCGATGTCTATATTTAAATAAACTAAATCTACATACGTTGCTTTGACAAGAAGACCATGCTTGTCTTGTAGTTCTTTACGCAGACTGTCGCACTCAACTTTCAGCTCAATGTTCTGAATTAAAAAAAAAAACAAGAATATTAAAATGAAATTGACGATCAACAAAATAACAAGCACATTTCATTTGAAACACCACATAAAAAGTCAGGCTCAAATGAACCAAGAACTGAAATACATATTGCACTACTGCTGCCTATAATATGGAAACTTGAAATCTGAAGTTATTCTTAAAAACAAATCCTTTTTTTTTTTTTGAAAATACTATTTTTTTGCGGAAAGCAGTTAGTAATGGTACTTTGTTTTTCTTTTTCTATTCACAATATAAAGAGAACAAATATTTTAAATTTGTCGATAAATTTTTAACATTTCAAAATGCTGAAAATATAGGGTTTCGATTTATGAAGCAAAAACATTGAACTACTATCGATTCTCAATCACTTATATTCATTTTCAACATTTCATACATTTCGATTCGAACATACACAAAACCACAAAATTTAAACAAAATCACAATTTCCTTATTATTATTATTAACCTGGATAATTTTCCCAATTTTCAAATTTGAAGAAAACGCCATTATCCACCAGAAAATTTTGAATTTGACAGAAAATTCCAACTAACTGAGCAACGTGAATTGCCCCATCTTCTCAGCACAAAACCAACTCTCAAATAACTCGAGATGAGATAATAAAGTGCTTATAAATCTTAACATCATTATTATTTCTAGTAATACCATTGTTATCGGACTCATCGCCAACCTTTTTTTACACATAAGCTCTTTGATTATCATCCCAGGAAGTCTTATCAAAATATTTATTCCTTTATTCAGCTGTCTACTAATGACAAAAGGTTTAAGCTAATACAGAATAGGTATTCAACTGAATGTTGGCTTAACGATCGGAATTTCGAAATGAGGCTATTCAGTAATGAGTTAATAATGGAATTTATAACTCAATAAGCTAAGCTGCTAAGCGTCCATCAATCACTGTTACTTATAAGTTAATAAAGAATTCAATTGATAATTTTAGAACTTAACAATAGTTGACCTACCAAATTCGAAAAGGATTAAATTCCAAATTGTACTTTTTTCAGATACAGAGAAGTATTACTTTAAGTGAACTAAAATAAACATCTTGAGAAGAGATTTAGGAGTGTATGGAGTGTATTATTAAAAATTTAATGCAAAAGTTATAAGTATTGCATAAGTTTGCAATAAATATTTTGATACATTTTATCAAGATTGCAACTTACCGACTGATAAATATGTTCATGATCTCCAGTAAATTGCTGTTGCATTCTTTCTTCCATGTAAAATATTCTCAGTTTTAATCCAAAGTTTTCTTTCTTAAGTTCTGAGATTTGCTGTGCACGACAGATAGTAAAATTATCATAATTGTAAGAGGCCTGATAATAAATTTATTCTGGATGCGATTTTTTTATACAACTTCTGTTATGATTTGCAATGAAGTAGAAATCAGTTTATTGGGATTCTAAAATCAGCACCATAATTTTTGGAAATAACTTATAGGCTATCTGAAATTTTCTGAAGATATTAGTGTTGTAGACTGTACAAAAAATTCAGTCAAGACATTCGACAATCAACTAGATAACATATTATTGGAGATTAAAAAGATATGAACCTGTATATAATACTATTAAAAAAAAAGGGTAAACCATTTCGGATTAGCATTGTTTCAAATGCATGGTGCTACAAATTGGAATCAATATAAAAATATAAACGAGGGTATAGTCTCAGTTATCATTGGTATTTACTTACAGTGGAATAGTCTTTCATACTTCTGTTCACCAGAGGAGATGTTCTATCATCAGACATGGTCAGCACTGAAAAACAGCAGAGTATAGTTCAGAGTAAAAACTATATTTTTTTCTATAACAAAATATGATAATTCCCCAAAGAAATTGAATGCATAACAAAATAACACTCACAGTTGGCTGAGGAAGCCTGAGCATGCCCCGGATCACTCATCACGGAAGCTTCTCCGATTGAGGATGCGTCGTGAAATCGTGTGATGTTAACACTGTAAACAACAAAATAGGATGGATGACATTCAAAAAAATTCAGACTCATTTCATAACTGGAACATGCTTAGAACATTATTAAGGTTTGCATTTACATTAGGGTTATTTAAGTAATTACAGGTATCATGAATTATAGAATGTTGATAAACTTAATGATATTTTATCAATTGACTGTTTAGATTATATTCCAGCCATACTTTTCCATTAAGGATAGCTACTAAAGTTCTTTTAACGAGAGAAAATGACTACATGGAATTACAAGAAACTCCTAACAAAGAATGGTATGTTAAATTTTACTCATAATTAGTCAAAATTGAAGACTGTTTCGTAATAGAAAGCAGTATATGTATCTACACTTCACTACAAAGAATATTGTTAATGTAAGCTAAGCCACCACCCTAGCTAATGTATATTCTATCCTCGCTGCATTTTCTATTGAAATATCAATATATACGGTATATGAGATAAAAGACAACTAACCAGTGATCAAATTGCAAACCAAATTTTATTCTTTATGGCCAAACCCTTTGAAAACCATAAAATTATTCATAATCATCAGCTAAACAAATATGCTTCTCCACATGGTATATATAATAGCCAACAGACATGTATTGCTGCATAAAACATTTATAGAGCAGGATCTATCTATAAATTATCATAATCATGACGGCAGGGTTTAAAATGATCTTTATTTTGCTTCATAAAAATTATGAGTTTGAATTTATTCATTGCGGTTTGTGGAAACTTTGAATATATTTGTTTTGTTTTTTATCTAAATTTGCTGGTGTTTAATATTAGTCTAATATATATTAATTTTGACAATTTGTTTGCTTATTAAACCGTATCTATAAATCACTTTAATGAATACCACCCTGAAATCATTATGCATAATTATGTCATGTGTCTAATATAAGACAGGAAGTGTGTTGTTATTCATGCTTTAAAGGTGTCCATATTTGAATGGTGTGCCAGAATAAGCGAAGTCCAAATATTTGCGTTCACATGGCATTTCAAATACGATTTTGCAAAAATTCGTGCAATTAAAATTTATAGTCTTTATTTTGCAAAATTTGGTATATACTTATTCATTGCTTAAAATATATAATGTAGGTTAATAATAAAACCAATTGCAAGTCAGCAGTTTATAAAACTAAATTATATGGACAAGGCAATCCTGGTGAGTATATCCTAATATATTGTTCCGTTAATTCAGCCCAATCTCCAATATATTGTAAAATGCAAATTAAATTTTGTATAGAGAAATATATACAGTGAGTACACTCTTGTTAAAAAAAATTAGGGTAATTTTCAATATGGAATACAATTCAATAAATTATACAGAAAATGTTTTTATTTGTATGTATGGGAGTAAAAACATGACAACTATGTGGTATTACAGTATTTAGTTTTTTATTATAAACCAAAATTTGAATATTATTAATATCATTGAATCAATAACTTCATATTTGAATCAGATAGTTTCATAATTCTATGGACAATTAAACAAACACATGAGATATAGGATTTCCATAACATTGATAAAAAGCCACCAATACTAGTACTTGACATGATTGTCATTGATTCAAGGGTTCTTTAGATAACATAAGTACCCAGTACTACCACAACAACATTACTATCATTCCAGACTGAAAGTGGAACATAGAAGATGAGACATGATCTTTAACAATGAGCCGACATCCACAATAATCGTCAAACTTGAGACAGACAGTCATATTAAGACTTTAATTGCACATGTAATAATCTGTCAGTTTTTGAATAATGTGAGGTTGACTGGTTGTATGACCACCTTAATAATAAATTGATCTAAGTTAACAGAGGCTCTTTTATTTCACACAGAACAGAATCATAATAGTAAAATTATTCACTTATTTATGAGGAACACATTCTATCAATTAGCCTAAAAAATACCAAACCTGTACTCCTCCTAGTACACTAAATACAGTTTAAACATCACACAGAAACAATTATATTTTCTACATTGTATAAGCTCGAGTGACCAAACATCTCGCCCCGATCTGGATGAAAACCAACTATGATATTGAGAAGTAACTGAGATACACCTGTTCAAAAAGTATTGGCTAAAGAATAACTAAAATAAAATACGAGGGTTTGATGGTTGCTGGGCAATTGAAGACACAGATAAGTTAATCATTTGAGCACAAACAAATTAAACCGTAAAGATGCGATTGGATAATGAATGATATTGTATATATATATAAAACCTATCAGGGAACTACCTCCTGGTGTGAATTTTATTACCAAATAAAATGAGGCATTCATATTAGACACACATATTTTATAAGATCATGTTTGAGCTTCACTTCAATGAGTATACAGATGGTTGAAGCCATTCGAAAGAATAAACAATTATCTCAATTCCTATTAAGACCTCATAAAATCAGACAACCGAAACTCACATATCCTCAACCATTACAACATTACAAAAAACAAATATAGCAGTGTCTTAAAGGACTAAATTTCTAAATAACCTCTGATTGTTCCTATTAAATAAAGCTCTCCTTAATCAAACACATCATATTAGTCATCTGCAAATACTCGAGGTTTAATAAAGTCCCTAACAAACATTCTCAAAAGTACAAAATCAACAAAAGTAATTCTAACCAAACAGTACAAAGAAAATTCTCAAATAAACCCTCCCACTAATATAATTTATTGTATCAGTAAATGTACCAGGATCCACCGAAGTAATATAAAACCAGGGATTGACAAAATTGAATTCACCTAAAATAATAATTTAAAATATAGAATATATTATAATGCTTTCCAATTCCTCTTTCTAATGTCATTTATTGCCTATATAAAATCTAATTGAATTTCATGTCATTAAATATATGTTCATAAAATGTTTTAGAAGACAGTTTATCCTTATTAGCCACCTTAATTATGTAACACACATTATTATCTAACACAGGGTTTCCCAAACTAGGGTCCGCGTAATGACTGCGCAAGACTGTCACAAGATTGTATATGCTTACAAAATAAGCATGATAATGCATGAACAATGATTGGTATTCATATCACGAAATACGATTATGGAATGCTGAAGACAATACAGATATTCTTAGACAAAGAGTTTCTATATTGGTTATTCCCAGTGGATTAATGTTGAAATAATCACATGCCACAAAAGACCACACAGAAGCTATCAGTGTTCAATCCCACAACATTATATTGAATACCGATACCAATACAAATGAAGAATAACCTCATAAATGGGGGAAAACCCACAATTCGGAGCACTTACTAATCATTCACCATAATAATTCCATCTCTAGCTACAAAGCACACCTGATGCTATACAGATTGAACTTCGAAATTGTAATAAAATATATTCTCAAGAATCTTAACTGTCAGCCTATATCAACCCGACAACTGAATACTCTCATGTATAGTTCAACACTGTTTTCATTACAAAATAAAGTACGTATGTAAAACTTTTCATCAATTATATTTATTTAGGAAATATAGAGATATGTCCTCCATAATTTCTTACCTTTTTGGCAAAATAAAAATCAAACAGCTATATCCGTTGTTAATAATTGAATTTCCTCATAATTGTCCTCCCAATAGTATAATATCCAATATAAAATTTAAACGAGTATTATGATTACGCAGAAGACATAACATAATTGCCTTCAGCATCTAAGACAATTCAAAAACCCCTACGGCAAAAACGGTAATATGCGCGTGACGTTTTCACGTCTAGTCAGTGTAAGTCGTTTTAAAAATAAGCGGGAGATCACAAATCCTTTGCTTGGAGCTATATGCTCTAATAAAATCATAATCCCTTAGCTAATTTTGCAGTAGTAATACTATGGATTATATATCTCAATTATCGTCGATTATAAGCTGATGATAAATATATCATAATTTCGATGGCGATATTGGCCAGACCCGCCGTTTTTGTTGAATATAATCCGCTTTCAATACATTACTGTTTACCTACTGCCATTTGGCCCTAATCTAAGACTATCCGGATCGACGTTTCCTCATAAAATCAATTTCGTTTTTCTCCGTCTAGAAACCATTGCGTAGCAGGCCAAACTCGTTCCGACGTTGCTACGAAAGATTCGCGAACGATCAATCATGTACGTTTATAATATTAGAGAAAGTAAAAAAAAACACCAAGGTGTGAAAACGCAAAACAAACGAAAAGAGCGGTTACTGGCGCGGAAAATGTGTTTTCGCAGGCGTCTGCTCAAAAAAAATATGAGCAATGAAACATGACTCGTCTTTTCCTGATCGCGAAAGACCGAAATTATCGGTTCATTCATTTTAAAACCACATACTTGCCTGTAAAACCGCATGTATGTCGACGCGCCTGGGCTATAATTTCCTTTTGTCGGAATACCATCCTGCTCAAAAATTTGTTAACGCAAAATTCAAACAAAGCGACATTTCCGCTTACCTTATGGCGTTTCATTTCCCAGTGGACTGAAGAAGAAAAACAAGATCGTCAGCTTCGTGTTATATCCATTCTTATTAGAATGTAATGATTACAAATGAATCGATATTTGATGTGAGAGGTTTAAATGATCAAAACACATGACTTTATACAATATTATACAATGTTCTAGGAATGTTTTATTCGATGAATTTTCATCAAAATTCTATCGCTGTGTAAAGAACTCCATCTGTAAATATAGTTGACAAAAGTAACATGAAATGTCCGCTCAAAGAGAGGCCATACACTGATCTATACTAAGCAAGCTCATATGAAGCGCATCATAAACGATTTTCTGAGCGGTGACTTCCGCCAAGTCATCTCATAGATCAATACTATTGCTGGAACGATGCACGAATTACCAGTAATATAGGCACCCATCTCGTAATTCAAATCCTCGGCACTATTGCTGAATTCTATTACTGGGACAGCATTTCTTTACAAAATTCCATTTGTATGATATGAAAAAACATCGCTCGGTTTCTCAGCGCTATTTGCTAATTCTAAAATTTGAGTGAAATTTTTCGGCCACGGTAGTTCGAAAAATCGCATAATACTTCCAATACTAAATCTACCATTTAAAAAAATCCACTTCATTTGAAATTCATCCAACTCTCATCGCGTTATAATTTTCTCCGTCAATATTTATTCCCGTAAATTAAAGCCTCTGGAATAATATGATGTGCTTTCTAGCCTAAACCGCTGCTGACGTACCATTTCTCCTGCGTAAAACGCACTAACCCTGTGTCTAACATCTGGAATTCGCGCCTACTGAAACTGCAGTCGGAATCACCGATGGCGCATAACATAAAGGTGGACGAGGTATAGCACGTTAATTTGTTGCAGCTGTTAGTACGATTAATTAAGTCTATACCCTTCTACTGCGATAGCACTTCTTTCTTTCTGCACCTCAACTTGTTTGTATATTTGTTTACCGCAGTTCAAGCCGCATAGTTGCGTTGCGTAAGAATGCGGTTTTGAACATATCGTAATGAATGATTTCATGATGCATTTATTTTCTTCACAGTTCATGGACGCCAATGCGGGCGTGAGCGTCACTCAATGAACGGAGAGACATATTCAGCAATATTTGACGCGTCATCAATTCGTATTACCCATGAAAGGAATAATGTTTTGTTATATGAAATGCTTACAAATTCGTCGGTTCCATCGGGCTAAAGGTGTCATTAACTTATCGAGGATAAATAAAGCACAACCAGTGTTAGCAAAACGATGTAATTTGCCTACGTTTCTAATTTCTATATAGAAAAACATCAGGGCAGGCCATATATACAGTAAAAAAAATTATCGGAGCGTAAAATTTAATCTAAAACACGATACCATGAATCCTTGATATAACAATCTGAGTAACTTGGCAAAAGTGCATGAAGGCTATCTAATAACGATTATACACAGGCGGGAAAATCGTCCGTTTCTTTATCATTCATCGAATTCTTCTTTGTTTATGTGGTGCCATTCCGAGCAAATATCGGCTAATTATATCGTCTTGAAAGCATCGTTGTGCTTTATTTATCCCGGGCATGAACATACCCGGTCGCAACCATGCGCTCTCATTTTACCTTCTTATGCTATTCAAAATTACCGTAATAACTCGGTATTGTTTGGTTAAAAAGTTCACTCGAAAGAAGGTCTATTTACTTGGAAGTGCTTTTAATAAAACGACCTAGACAATGACATAAATCTCTACAAAATCATAAGGAACATCACATCACACAGGATCCTTTTGGCATGTTTTGACAAAATGATAATTGCAATTCTAGTTTTACAAATTTGGTGCCAAATTTGTTTTGTCTTTCAGACAATTTACGGTATTGAGCAATAATAAATTGTTAGCATAGCAAAATGAAACAACAAAAAATTTCAACAATGACATTGACATCATCCTTTCAGTTTTGCATCAAATCTGGCTGATGGACACATTTTTTAAAACAGATGAAAATGAACAGTATATTTAACTATTAACTCAAAGTTACACGGTACACAGTTACACTTTAAATGGGATTGATTTTTGGCTATTTCTAGTGATTTTATTGTATTTATCTTTCTATGTATTGTATTCATCTGAAAGTCTTTTGAGATTTTTGTGTAAATCCCCTAGTCTTAGATGAGGATTTTAGTTTTTCATGTGACTGACAAACTTATTGTCATTGCAATGTTTACAGAACAAGAAAAATATTTAACTATGTTTTAGCATATACTTGAAAAGTTAGCAAACACATTTCCAGAGAAATCTGGCTCACATGAAATATTTGGAACATTTTATAATGAAGCTTTTTTTTATCCATACCATTACTCCATAGTTGTGGTCATTTGAAAAATTAATGTTCAAGTTGCTGTAGACAAATTTTTCTAACTTTGTTCAGACATCCGATTTCATTTTTACCAAATTAACTTTCCCTTATTAACTGTTGAGATACCCGTTTAATAAGTATACAAATTTAAAAGAAATGTGTTTATATATTTGATATCTGTTTATCAAATTAGTTTGTTGTAATTTTTGGAAATATAAAAATACTGAATGCATAAGATGTCTCGATTTATCTTCATGCTCCTCAACATAATATAAGCCCAACTTCAAACTTGTGGGTCCACTAATTGCAGAGCTGATTTGAGGTTCATTACATTGCTTCACCTTGCTCATTTCAGAGGTATCTTCTGTCTTTGGAAAGGGTTTGTATAGTCTACCAATTTAGAATCTTAAGGTCAAGTTTGCTGTCGCGAGATTTTGCAGTCTAAACTCTATTAGACATGTTGTTCTTGTAATTTACATGGATTTAATTTGTTTGTTCTTTCGATACTGTTTCATTAACCGGTTACCTGAATAGATGTTTCCCAACATATGGATCATAACCCAAAACTGGATCGCCTGGAAATTTCCTTGGGTCGCTTTTTTTTCAACAAAACTTAAAAAAAATGCTGTTCAAAATTTGAGTATATTCTTGAGTCATGATATTTATTTCTTGAAAAAAGTTTAGTCGCTTGAAAAAATGGTTGGCAACCTCTGATCTGAAGTAGGATATCTGCATGATGAATTATCAAAGATTTTTGTGACAGCTCCTTAATTTGGTATTCAACCAAAATCAATTGAGTCTCATTAAATTCTGACCAACTGCTAACTCTTGGGAACCATAAAAATCTAAATAAGCGTCTCAAAGCCTTCCATCTTAGTCGTAATGTGATAATAATAAAGAAAAAATCGCCTATTGGCCAGAATGGATTCCATGGCAGGTGCACGCCCGAAGGCGCTAGCGCTCTACAAAAATGCACGCGAGCGAATTCAATTTTGAACGCCGAAAATTTGTAATTGCTCACCAATGTAAATCGGTTTGAATGGTTTTTAAATCAATAATCCAGTAATATAAAGATGCTAAAAAATTACAATTCCACAATTGTCGACTAATAATAGCTTGCAAGATTCGGCCTGATCGAAAAATGTGAAGCAAAAAAGACCATATCGTGTTGAATGATAGGAATCCCGTGAGAATAGTTATGGGTGAAAAGATCGCCTCTTCACCGACGCTGGCCAGTTACGGCTCTGATTCAGCGTATTTTTTATACAATAATTTTACACAGATGTACTGAACAGTACTGGTATCTAAAGTCGCACAAACACTCTCAAAATTAGTGACAAAGTATAGAAACAATGTTTGGGGGTCAAAGGTCAAACGTCTATTTTTGCTATGATTCAACATATTTTTTATCCAATAACGGTAATTTTACGCGAATGTATTGAGAGGTATCTAATGTCAAAGTCAGTTGCACGCAGGCGCAGTTGTTTTGCACGCCGTGAGCTATAATTGCACGCCAGGAATTTTTATTTGCACGCCCGATTTCTCGTACAAAAAGGCCATGAAATCCAGACTGGCCTATTGGCAATGCTAAAAATGGCATGGTATTAAATGTAAAATTTAATTCAAAACACAAAAGTTGAATTTCATACATCAAAACATACCTTGTATTATTCAAGTCCAATGGCAAAGTTGGATCATATTCATCAATCGAATCCATTGTTATATTGTTGATGTTCTCTTCATACAGTCATATGTTGTAGGACAACAAGCTTATTAAATAAATCAGATTTGGAGAGCTTCTCGGATAATATGGAGCATGTCAGAATTTTGAAGCAAATGTGTTATTCATATTTTGTCCATTTCTCAATTTTTTTTAATAGTAAAGTATGCTAAAACTGTTGAATTATAAATTGCGGAGTTAGAATAGGTTTAAGTAATAAGTTCAGAAATGGTAGTTCTCCGATTCCTAAAATAGCCCCCACATAAAAAGGGATCAATTATAACATCAATTATGATTTTGTAATACAGTAATACGCTATAATAGGCTACATATTAAATTCTATTCTTTTCAGTTTATAAATTCAATTTATAATATTAATTAAATTTATTAAGTTAAATTTGTATATCTAAAACTTTGAAGATAGAAGTTGGGCTGAT